GGGTCTCACTTCCTCTTGTAAGGCCACAAGTGTCCCCCTGGTCATCATCGCAAGATCTCATCTGATCTTAATACACACCCTCCCCAAACCGTGAACAGATAGATGAGTCAGGATTCAGTGTGCAACACAAGAACTTTTTGGGGGAACCACAGTCAAGACATAGCAGTGTCTCTATTCTTCTCCCCAGGGGCTTCAGCCCCAGCTGCTATGACCACCCCCCCCCCCCATTGAGAAAAAGGAGAAGAGGGCCGGCCTATCCGAGCCAAGCAAGCACGTGGCAAGTGCAGGGATTGGCTGGGCTTTGCCATACCCATGGCGTCAGTCAGGGTGCCCAGCTGGTCTCCACACACACCGGGCCCTGGTGAGGCCTTCCCAGAATGCCTATGTCCCTTCCCTAGAGAAACAGGTACCACCCTAGTAGATTGTTTGCAGTCCTAGGGATTGAACCCAAGGCTTGAACAGGCTGATAAGCACTTGACTGTAAGCCACACCCTCTTTTGTACTTTACTTTTTTTTCCTTTTTCTTTGTGTCAGTCCTAGGGATTGAACTCAGGACTGTCACGGTCGAGGCTAGTGCTCCAGCACTTGAGCCACAGCTCCTCTTCCAGCTTTTTTTTGGTGGATAATTGGAGATAAGAGTCTCAAGGGCTTTCCTGACTAGGCTGGCTTAGAACTGTGATCCTCAGGTCTCAGCCTCCTGAGTAGCAGCTAGGATTTCAGCCATCAGCACTCCATGCCTGGCTTTGTACTTTACTTCTGAGACAGGATTTTGCTAACATGGCTGGGCTGACTTGCTCTCTCTCTTGCTCTCTATTCTAGAGTTTGAACCCTTCCAGGTTTTTAGCTTGCCAGGCAGATGCTCTGTTATTGTTTGAGCCATGCTTCCAGCTGGCCTTGAACGCTCCATCTTCCTGCAGTCTCTTTTTCTCAAGTAGCTGGGATTGCAGGCAGGTGCGGCCAAATCTGACTAGCAATGCTGGGTTTTGTCAGTATGCCCAGAGTGTAAGAACTAAGGAAGTCATCTGTGTCCCTTGAGCAATAATGACTGATGGGGTGGGGGAGAGAGTATAAATACTCTAGCTCCCTCAGGGGCACCCCCATTGGGGTCTCAGTCTGCCAGACACCTTCTGCAATACCCTGAATTATGCTCCCTCCGATCCTGTTAAAGTTCCTTAGGATGAGACTCTACTTAGAGATAGGGGGCCATGTAGATGTTAAACCCAGTAAAGTGAATTCATGCTAGGAAGGGCCCCCTCCTCCAAGACCCAGGTCCTGATGGATTTCTCAGGTGGACCGGAAGCTGGGCCCTAGCCCTCCCCCAGGCTGAGCAGACCCAGCCACAGAGACTTAAAACTGTCTCTCCTTCCGGATGCTGGCAGCAGGCGATCACCTCCGGGCCTGTCCCCTGAGCATCTTCAGCCAGCATGATCCTGGGGTGCCATCTGTACTCAAATGTACCCTGCTCATGGATACCCTTCGATTGTTTTGAATCAAGACCTTTGGAGGTAGCCAGCTTGACATCTGATGTTTAAGTAGTGGCAACGGACTCCAACTTGGTTTTGCTGTTTGTTGTTTTAAAGGCTTGAGGAGATCAGACTTAACCTGGGGGAATGGTTCATGGCCAAGTCTCTTGGCTGGGGCCACTGGCTATTTGTGCTATGGGACAGTAGTGAGCAGGGACACAGGAGACCCGAGACCTGGCCTGCAACTGAGCTTCAGTCACGCATCAGACAGAGGCTGCTTGGGCCTCTGAGCCACTGTCACCGCATCTGTAAAACAGGTAACTGTGCTCTGTTCCCTGCCCTGGGCTGGTCGACTTTAGCAAGCACATATTCCCTGCAACAAATATTCTGAGCACGTGACAAAACACAAACTTGTTTATTCTACCACAGCACCCGCAGGAGCCCAGAGAGATCTGACAACTTGCTTAAGCTCTCCCCGCTAGGAGAAGAGATGGATCTAGCTTTGAACTTGAGCCAGGCTGTTCCTCAGTTCCTGATGCAATGAAATGGCTCATCAACAGCTGGGCTTTTGTTTTGCTTTGGGTTTTGTTTTGTTTTGAGAGAGAGAGAGAGAGATTGAGAGAGAGAGAGAGAGTGTACATGCTCCTGGCTGGGCGTTGTGCAGGAGCATTGTCAAGCTACTGGCAAAGAGATTGTTTTTAGAGAGGCCTGAGGCTTCCTCACCCTCTGGACAAGGGCCAGGACCTGGCCAGCGGCCAGCAGCCCTTTCTCCTCAGAGCAGCTATTTCCTGTAAATGGTGACTCTCCTCTGCCAAGGCAAGGAGCCAGAGGTGGCCCATCCTCCCTCTTCTAGGCTAGTGCAGACCTGCACCTGCTGGCCTGGCTTCAGAAGGCCTGATCCGATGTAGCCTCCCATAGTGGCCAAGGGTCAGCTTCTCTTGTAGCAGCTGCTCTGGGCTTGGGGGGCCTGAGCTGGTGTGTGTGTGTGTGTGTGTGTGTGTGTGTGTGTGTGTGTGTGTGTGTGTGTGTGAAAGAGAGAGAAAGAGAGAGAGAAGGGAGAGAGGCTCAAGTGGAAGACCTCTCTCTCTCTCTCTCTCTCTCATGCCACCCTGTCCAGGGTGGACTGTGACCTGTAGGAAATTATAGTTGAGAGGCAGCCATGGGGCAATAAGCTGTAGGACTTTGAGGTCAGGCAGAAAAATGACCCACCAGGGATCACACCTTGAGTTGTGTCCCATTTCCATACCAGGCAGGATGGAGGTGACACCCCTGCCAAGCCAGGACAGAGACGTCTCACACCCTGAGCCTTGCGTTCCCAGGAAGGAACGCTGTATGTGTGGTGGGGAGCATGGATGAAGGGTTCTGCAAAGGCCCTGAGGAAGGCATGTTTGAGAATGGGCAGAATCCGCCTGCCACAGCCTCGCGCATCCTGATGGGAGAGGAATGATGGAAACAAACAAACAAACAGCAGCAGCAAACAAAACCACCTGCAGGGCCATGCACTGGTGGCTTACACCTGTAATCCTTGCTATCTTGGAAGCTGAGGTTTGAGGATCAGGGTCAAAGTTAGCCTGGGCAGGAAAGTCCATGAGACTCCTAATTTCCAATTAACAGGCAGAAGAAGAAGAAGAAGAAGAAGAAGAAGAAGAAGAAGAAGAAGAAGAAGAAGAAGAAGAAGGAGAAGGAGAAGGAGAAGGAGAAGGAGAAGGAGAAGGAGAAGGAGAAGGAGAAGGAGAAGGAGAAGGAGAAGGAGAAGGAGAAGGTGGAGGAGGAGGAGGAGGAGCAGCAGCAGCAGCTAGAAGTAGAGCTGTGGCTCAAGTGGTAGAAAGTCAGCCTTCCTGAGTTCAAATTCCAGTACTGGCATGCACATGAGCACGCACACAGACACACAGACACAGACACAGACACACAGACACACAGACACACACACACACACACACACACACACACACCAGGGAAAACACCTGTAGAAGTCAGAGACTCAGGCTTCCTCCTCTCATCTGTGCACATGCCCAGGTGCTCGGCTCAACCTATGCAGAGCAGAGTTAAGACCTGGTAGAAAGAAAGGGCTGTGTTCATGCAGGAGCTCTGGGCCAATGGCTGCCATGCAGTCAGTGCAGCGGGCAGATAAGGCTCCGGCCTTCCTGTTTTCCTGCCTTTCGAGTACCTGGCAGGCCTGGGGTTGTGGTGGGATTCAAGGCCAGACCCTCAAATCTCATAGTAGAACAGGGGTGGAAGGGGGAGCGGGGGACTCAGAGGACAAATGGATCCAGAGTCCCTTCTGGATGGGAGGGAAGAACACTGAGAGAAGAGCACTTTAAAGACTAACGGGGAAAAATCAAAACGTAGATGCGACCATCAGGGGGATGATCTGATGGGTCACTGGATAAAGCCGCTTGCTGCCTGGTGTGGTGGTGCGTGCCTGTAGTCGGAGCCCCCCGGGAGGTGGAGGCAGGAGGATAGCAAGTTTGAGGCCAGCCTGGCTCCGGTAGATACATAAATAAACAAATAAATAAAATAGTTCAAAACAGAAAGGCGTCTGTCCGTTCATAGGCACAGAACCACCCCGCCCCAGCTTCCTCACACTTCAGGCCATTCCCTCCCCCCCACCCAAGCAGGGAGTTTAACAGGTGTTTTCCCGCCATCCTTGGCGGGGGCTGGGGTCCCCCTCCCCGGAGCTGCCCCCTGCAAAGGCCGGCCACCTCCCGTTCCCAGACAGGCCCTGACTGCAGACACCGAGGCCTAAAGACCATCCATTGAGCATCTGCCTAGGCCTTGGAGCCCGGAGGGAGCTGGGCTGCGGGAGGTGGGGGGGAGTGGGGGGGGAGCGGCAGAGCTGGGCCGGGGAGCACCGGCGGTGGCAGGGGGTGGTCGGTATCGCCCATGACCCTCCGCTCCCAAGCCCTGCGGGTTCCCAAGCCGCCTCCTGGGGACCTCCTGGAGAGAGGCCCAACCGCTACCTGGCAACCAATGACGTCACGCCCGACTGCTCCCTGGCAGCCAATGATGTCACGCCTGAACTCTACCTGGCAACAGATGACGCGGCCGGCTCCAGGACCAATAGCCGAGCTCCGGGGCTCGGCCGACCCCACCTGACCATCTCTGCACCCCAGGTCCCGGCCCTCCTGTGGGGGGGAGTGACCCCCAGTGTTAGAGGGCGACAATGTCCGTTGACCCCACGCGGGGCTTCCGAGGGATGTTTCCCGCCTGCCCGGCCCGACTGGACCCCGGCAGCAGCCGGTGATTTTCAGGGGCGGAGGAAAGCCCCGGGGGCCGCGGCGCCCCGGGCCCGGCCCGGAGCCCCCCCCGCAGAGCGCGGCCTCGGCGTGCGCCCCGCACAGGCGGCGTGCGGGCCTCGAGCCCCAGGCCGCGCCCCGCGCCTCGGCTTCCCCGGGAACCCCGCCCCGCAGAGCGACCCCCGCCCGGCCGCGGCTGCGCCCTGGGCCGCGCCCGCCCCGCCGAGGCCTGCGCGGGGACGCGCGGGGGACGCGCGGGGCGCCGCCTCCCGCACCCGGCCGCGGCCTCCGCCCGCGCGGGGCCCTCCGCAGCGCAGCGCAGCGCGGCCGGAGCTGGGCCGGGGCGCCAGGTGCCCTCGGGAGGATGAAGCCGGTGAGGCGCGGGGACGCTGCGGGGGGGGGGGGGGGGGGGAGGAGGAGGGGAGGAGGAGGGGGATGGACAGAGAGGGGGAGGAGGGGGAGGAGGGGGAGGAGGGGGAGGGGATGGAGGAGGAGGGGGATGGAGAGAGAGGGGGAGGAGGGGGGAAGAGGAGAGGGGAGGAGGGGGGATGGAGAGAGAGGGGGAGGAGGGGGAGGAGGGGGAGGGGATGGAGGAGGAGGGGGATGGAGAGAGAGGGGGAGGAGAGGGAGGAGGGGGGGGAGGGGGAGGGGATGGAGAGAGAGGAGGAGGAGGGGGGAAGAGGAGGGGAGGAGGGGAGGAGGGGAGGAGGAGGGGGAAGGACAGAGGGGGAGGAGGGGGAGGAGGGGGAGGAGGGGGATGGAGAGAGAGGGGGAGGAGGGGGATGGAGAGAGAGGGGGAGGAGGGGGAGGAGGGGGAGGGGATGGAGGAGGAGGGGGATGGAGAGAGAGGGGGAGGAGGGGGGAAGAGGAGAGGAGAGGGGGGGAGCAGGTGCACCAAGCCCCGGGCCTGGGGCTGCGCTGGTGGTCAGCAGGATGGGGGGTCACGGGGACCCCAGGGTTGGGGCTGCCACCCGTCCCGCGTCCCCAGGCCCTGGTGGACGACACGGAGGATGTGTCTCTGGACTTCGGCAACGAAGAGGAGCTGGCCTTCAGGAAGGCGAAGATCAGGTACGTCGTGGAGACAGCGCTGCGGATGCGTTCCCTTCTTCCCTCGTTCCTGCACAACGCAGACCCCCACCTGCGCCAGGTGCTGACCTGTGGACACCCCCCCCCCGCCCCCCAACCCCTGTCCCCCCGAGCCTGCGGCCTGGGGAAGGGCACGGATGGTGGAGGTGGTGGGGAAGCGAGCTGCAGGAGGAAAGGGTGGCATGGGAAGGCCTGAGCTGCGGCAGAAGCAGGAGCAGCAGCCACGGAGGCTCCGGGGGAATGGTTCCCCGCCCCACAGCAAGGCCCAGCGGCCGTGAGAGGGTCAGCGGAGGCCAGCTGAAGGCCATGGGGCTGTGGGAGGGACGGTACTGATTGCTGGCAGGGTTGGCAGGCGCTGGACAGGCTGAAAGGCCTTTTGAGGCATTTCCCTTTTTGTGTTTGCGCTGGAACTGGAGCTTGAGGTCTTCCTTGGCTTTTTTTGTTAAGGCTGGTGCTCTACCACTTGAACCATACTTCCACTTCTGGCTTTGTGCTGGCTAATTGGAGATAAGAGTCTCAGAAGTGTCTGCCCGAGCTGGCTTTGAACCAGGATCCTCAGATCCTTCTGAGGAGCTAGGATTACAGGAGTGAACACCAGTGCCTAGATTCTCTCATCTGCTGGCTGACCGCCCTCCCTGCCTTTCCTTTCCCCCTCTTTTTTTTGTACACACACACACACTTCCTGAGTCTTTTCCCAGTGAAGCTGCTTGTGAGGTCCACCTGGACCTCCACCTTTTGAGACACCTCCACATTTTGAGACCTTTGTTAAGTCAGCTCGCCATAAAAGAAACCTGGCCTCATGTATCCCCTTCAGACATCAGCACCTGCGTATTTCGGGGTCACTCTGCACCCTCCCTCAGGGACCGTGACGGTCTTACAGGACTGTGGCAGAGAACTGGATCCAGGGCAAGGACGCTCAGGGAGCAGCTAGCTTCACTATTCTCTCCCGTATGCCAGCCCCCGGCCAGAGGGCCATGCCCAGCCCAGGGGGTGAGGCCCCTACCCCATGAAGTTGCTTTGGTTTCCTTGCTACACTCCTGCCATCTCAGGCCACACGTGTGCCTTGCAGGGTGCTTAGCAACAGTTAGGCCTCTGCTCAGCAGATGCTTGTAGTCAAGGAAGTCCCCAGACATTGCCCAGTGTTTTCTGGGACACCTTCTCCCTCCTCACTCCTCCTCGCTGAAAACAATGGAGAGAGAAGAGCCTTTAGAACTCAGGGTCGGAAGTGCTGAGGCACGCAGGTGCTTAGTCCTTATCGTGGTTGGAGGAATAGTGGCAGCTGAGCCTGGGACTGAGGTTGGGGAGGAGTTGGGTTAGCAAGGGTGGCCATTGAATGCAGGGGTCTAGAGGCAAGATCATGAGTTTTGGGTGTGGTGCAGTGGCTCACATCTGGAGTCTGACCCACTAAGGTGGTAGAGATCAGGAGGATCACAGGACTGGGTCAGGATGGTTACGTGCAGATTCTTTGTTGACATGGTGATATTGAAGAAAGGTGAAATTGTGGGATGTACCTGGGGGTCCTGAGGTGGCTTTGTACAGGTGACCCTGCCTTGCTCCACCTCCACGCAGCTGTCTGCGAGATGGAGCTGTTTAAACCAACATGGCCTGGCCACAGGCTTGCTGGGCCCTGGGGACAGAGAGATGCTTCCTGCCCAGCTTCCTGTCCCCAGTGTCAGGTGACAGAGGTCCTGTGTGCTGGTGGGGGCTCTTTGGGGACCAGCAGAGCAGGTGCTCTTTCTCCCTTGCTGGGCAAGCAGATAGCCATGGTGGTGTGTGTGTGTGTGTGTGTGTGTGTGTGTGTGTGTGTGTGTGTGTGTGTGTGTGTGTGTGTGTGTGTGTGTGTGTGTGTGTGTGTGTGTGTGTGTGTGTGTTCCCTCCATGGGTTTCTTACAATTCCTTCCCCTTTTGTTGTGTGTGTGTGTGTGTGTGTGTGTGTGTGTGTGTGTGTGTGTGTGTTCCCTCCATGGGTTTCTTACAATTCCTTCCCCTTTTGTTTTGACTTAAAAAAACATTGTGATTAGTTGGCTGGCTGTGGCTCACGCCTATAATCCTAGCTACTCAGGAAACTGAGATTTGAGGATCACAGTTCAAAGCCAGCCCCGGCAGGAAAGTCCATAAGACTCAAGCTTGACAAGACCCCTAGCTGAGAAAGAAACCAGAAACATAAAAAGGACTGGGAACATGGCTCAGGTGGAGAACACTTGTCTGGTAAGGTCCTGAATTCAGTTCCCTGCACTGCCAAAAAAGAAGAAAGAAAAGATAACGTTTACTGTCTTCATGGTTTTTAGTCATGAAAGTCGGTAGTGTTCGGTGTGTTTGCACTGCTGTGAGATAGAATTTTTTTGTTTTGTAAAATTGGAACCCTTGGGCTAGGATGTCGCTCAGTGGCGACACGCCTGCCTGACAAGTGCAGGTTTGATCCCCAGGACCGAAAAAGAAAATGCAAAAAGAAAATACAGTTGAAAAAATACCCCAAACAATAAAACTGAAACCCGACACCCATTAAACAACTCTCCTGCCTGGGCCCCAAAACTGCCATTCTACTTCCTGTCACTACGAAGCCACCACTCACTTGAGGAAAGTGGAATGTTATTTGTGCCGGTACTGGGGCTTGAACTCAGGATCTCACATGCCCACTGAGGGTTTTTTTTTTTTTTTTTTCTCCAGCTGGCTGAGCTGCACTTCCACTTCTAGCTGGTTGATTTGTCTCATTGATTTGTCTGTCTAGGCTGGCTTTGAACAGCAATTCTCAAGAGCTCAGCCTCCCAAGTTGCTAGAATTACAGGTGTGAGCATCAGCACTTGGCCCTGGTGTGAATTGTTTGTCCTTCTGCCCTTGTGTGGCTGGCTTGCTTGACTTAGCATCGTATTCTTCAGGCTCCTATTGTACCATGCACCCGAGTTTTCTTCCCTTTCAAGGCTGAGTAGTATTCCAGTGTGTGATTGTTTTGCTTAGTTCTGTTGGTCTGGTCATCATGGCCAACTCAGTACTGGGACTGAACTTGAGGCTTCATGTTTGCAGAGCAGGTGCTTTAGCCACTTGAGCCATCCCTCCAGCCCTCTTTTGGGTCAGTTATTTTTGAGATACAGTCCTCCTTTATGCCTGGGCTTGAGCTTTCCCACGTTGCTGGGATGACAGATGTGTGCCAGAGCCTCAGGATCTCCACCGCACCCCGAGCCCCAGCCCTGGTCCCTACACTACTCCGTCTGCTGTGTCCTTGGGCTGTGTTTGGCTGTGGGAGAGGTGTAGGAACTGAGAGCCCAGGGCCACTAGTCACCTTGAGTCATGGGAATGGGGGAAGGAGGCCAGGTGATTTCCAGACATTCTTGGTGACCATGGCTACTGTCCCTGAAGGGTGATGGGGTCCCTGGGGAGAAAGAATCCTGACTCAGATCCCTCTGTTGGGGATTTGGGTTAGGAGTCGATGTCTTACATTGGTCTTTCAAGGCGTCTGGAGTGATGTGGGACCCGAGGAGAGCTGGCAGGGCGAGGGGAGGAGGGGACAGGTAACAGTGCAGGTGATAGCTTGGCTGGCTGATCTAGGGACATTAGTTTGTCTCTGATTGCTGCACACACATGTGCATGCACATGCAGCATGCTCCACCACTACTGAGAATCAGAATTGGGGGAGGGCGAGGTTCTTTATTGAGGATGTTGAAGGTGAGTTTACTATGGCTGAGAACCCCTGACCCCTGTGCCTTTGGGGACCAAGTCACACTGGCCCTGGCTCTCAAATCTATTTTGCAAACAAAATAAAACAAAACACAGAAATATGACACGTAAGCAGGTCCCACCAAGAATTGACTTTAAGGAAGGTCCGATTACCAGGGAAAGGAACCCACAGAATGGGGGAACTGGACGAATTTCAGTTCTCTTTGATTGAAGCACACATTACAGATTTTGAAATTAACTCTTTCCATCCCGAAGGACTCAGTTTCCTTTTTCCCAGGTCCGGTTCACCCACTAGATTGCAGAAGTGATGGGGAGGAGGAACAAGTTGCTCAAGGGGAACTTCTGCTCACAGTTGGGATGAAGCAGAGATGTCCGTCAGATCCCGGGGGGATTCCTTTGGGACCGTGAAGAACTGAAGTATTTCGTTCATACATTCATATATTCATTCAAGATTCAAATGAGGCTGGAGGCCAGATCACCTTTTGTTTGGGGATGGTGTATAGGCTGAGCCACGTAGGAGGCAAAGAGTCCCAGGGATGTTTCCTTAGTAAAGGCCAACTCAGCCTGCACTGGAGGAATCTCCAGTTCAAGACCATCTTGGGCTATGTCTTCAGACCCTGTGTCAAACAAGCAAGCAAACAACAACAAAATAAGAATGCAAAGAAAGACAGGATCCTCTCCACTCTTTGGAGTAGGAAACTGAAGTCGCTCCTCCATCCTCCCCACCCCTCCTCTCCCACCTCTTCTAGTTGCCATGAGGTGAGCACACTCCTCCGCCATAGGTTCTGCTGCTGTGGTGTTCACCCTTATCACAAACCCGCAGCCATGGAACAAGAAAATAGGAGACCAAAGCCTTTGAAAGCAGGAGCCAATTACATCTTTCCTCCTTTGTTTCTCTTTGGTGTTTATTACAGGGGCAAAAAGTGGAACGTACTGCAAAGACAAGCTGGGCTCGGTAGTACACACCTGTACTCCCAGCTACTCGGGAGGTGGAGGGAGGATCAGAGGCTGAGGCTAGAAGTAAAACCAATCAATTAACAAACAAAGAAAAGTGCAGGGACATGGCTCTAGTGGGAGAGCAAGTTGCAAGTGAGAAGTCCTGAGTTCAATCCCCAGTAGCTCGCGCGTATGCACGCGCACACGCATACACACACACAAAGCCATTGTACACACAAAGCCGATCGACACTCTTCTGTGGGTTTTAAATCTCTCCCAGCTGACTTAGAGCACTGAGCGATGTCCGTGCTAGGGCCACGGCTGTGATCTTGCAGTGCTTGGGGACAATGACAAGGAGAAAGGGCTCAGGCATTCCCCTGCCCCGGGATGGGGGTGGTGGGGAGAGGACATTTGGGCTGATTCCACTTTGTGGCAGTTTGGATCCTGGTGCTGTGAACTCTGGGCCCGGCTTTCCATTCTGCTGGGGTGCCTGTCTTTGGAGAACGCCGGCGTTCTGGCTGAGTAGTCCAAGAGCCTGTTGGCATCAGGAGGATGAGCACGGACCGTGCTCATGTGGCAATGTGCTCATGCCCGCGACGCTGGCACGCTTCTGCCAGGCTTCCCAGCCTCTCTGCACTTGGGATGTCTCCTTAAGAAACAAAGAACAGAAACAAGGTGGGGAAGATATAGCAGCCAGAGGGAAGTCTGCCTGGCTATTTACTTCCACACACGATCCCCGTTTGTCTTGACTTTTGAGTAACAAGTGTTAGTACTTCGCTGGCATCCACTCAGACAGCCCGGCGGCCCAGGGTGCCCATGCTGTCACCAGCAGCAGGAACCCAGAGCCAGGTGGATGAACCCCCACTGTGGTTGAGAAAGGGGGATGGATCCGGCCCTGGGTTGGTGTGCCCCAACCCCCGAAGTTCTAAAGGGCTCATAAGCAATTCTCTTTGTTTTTCAAGTACTGGGTTTGAACTCAGGGCCCAGGCACTGTCCCTGAGCTTTTCTGCTCAAGGCTACCACTGTGCCACTTGAACCACAGCTCCACTTGCAGCTTTTCTGTTAGTTAATTGGAGCTAAGAGTCTCACTGACTTTCCTTTCCCCAGGCTGGCTTTGAACCACCATCCTCAGCCTCCTGAGTAGCTGACAGGTGTAGGCAGCAGCACCTGGCTCACCTTTTTCAGTCCCTTCCTGCCTCATTCCTGGAGGCCGGCCAGCCTTGACCATGGAGTAGGGGCGGGTGTGTGCCTGCCCGGTCTCTTGGGGCTTGTGGTGAGGTGCGGATCCCGGGGGACAGGCAGAGCTGTCGCCGGGGTCTGGAGCTGCAGGGGACAGGCAGCTTCTGCTTCCTCCTTCCTCTTGACACTTGGGGTTCCCCTTCCTCCCCGTACCTTTATTTATAAGGTAAGCAGGCGCCACCCAAGAGCAAGTGGGTGTCTGGGATGGAGAAATAAATAGCAGTGCCTGAGTATGTTTTTAATCAGTGAGAAAAACATCACCAGCTAACAAAGGACATGCAAATAGACTACACGCTCAGGTTCTCTTCTGTTCTCAAAAATAGCAAGTTGGGGGCTGGCCACAGCGCCGCGGCCGCCTCTGCGGGCGCAGCCCATGTGTCTCGCCTTGGCATCGTGGGCAGATTTGTTCTCCCATTCCACAGAGGAACAGCCTGAGGCCCAGCAAGTTTTGCGGGCTCGGGGCTGTAATCCTGGCGAGGAGGATCTGGCTCCAGGCTTTCCCGGTGCCTCCCCAGCCCGGTGTGGGAGTTGGCATTTGTGCCCCACTTCTTTGTATGCTCTTTATTGTAAGAATACTGTACAGAGGGGTTACAGTTACATGCGCAAGGTACCCACTTCTTTTTTAAGAGGAACTGGTAAACCCAGAAGAAAGGACCTGTGCTCTGGAATTTTCACCCAGCTGCAATGACCAATTACTCAATTGGGGATTTTTAAATGTGAATTTTTTGTTGTTTTTTGAAAACCATGTGTGGGCCATGTACCCTGAGAGGCAATCTTGTCCCCAGGCAAGAACAAGGTTCAATTCTGTGGCTTCTTTCTCTATCCTTGCATTCAAATGCACAGGAAAAGCAGAGAGAGCCATGAACTGGACATGGCCATTGCTAGACTTGGATCCCTGGATCTGACCAGCCCCTCACCCGATGTGGGAAATGGGTTCTAGCCACCCTCTCAGCAGCTGCTTCCCAGCAAAACAAGCCTGGAAGGAGTCTGAACTCCTCCTTGGACCTGTGCCAGCCAGAATGTCACAGCCTTCCTGAGGGACTCGAGGATCGTGGCGTTGAGGACAGGCTATTTGATGAGGACTTTGGCTGGCGCTGGTCAGGCGTGGTGATGCATGCCTGTAATCTCAGCACTCAGGAGGCTGAGGCGAGAGGACTGAGTGTGTGAGGCTAGACCTTGTTAAATTGGGAGATTCTATTTCTGAAAATCCACCAGCCAGACAAAAAAGCCAACAGAAGACAAGAACAAATCCAGACTGCAGTTTCCAAAGCAATGAAGCAATTAAAGAGTAACTGTGTATGTGTGTGTGTGTTGGTGTGTGCACGCGCACGCACGTGTGCATGTATAGTGGTACTGGGGCTTGAACTCAGTGCTTAAGTGCTGTCTCTTAGCTTTTTCACCCAAGCCTAGGGCTCCACCACTTTGAGCCACAGCACCACTTCCAATTTTCTGGTGGTTCACTGGAGACAAAGAGTCTCACAGACTTTCCTGCCCTGCCTGGCTTCGAACCGTGATCCTCAGTTCTCAGCCTCCTGAGTAGCTAGGATGACAGCCATGAGCTCTGGCGCTGTTTGGCCTGCCCCTTGGCTCCAACTGAGGCGCCTCTGGGCTGTCCCCAGGCACCCCCTGGCCACCTTCTTCCACCTGTTCTTCCGAGTGAGCGCCATCGTCACCTACGTGGGCTGTGACTGGTTCAGCAGCAGCTTTGTGGGCTGCTTTGTCACCGTGCTGCTCCTCCTGGCCTTTGACTTCTGGTCGGTGAAGGTAAGACCGACTCCGTGGGACTCCAGGCTCTGCGGCTCAAGCTCGCTGTGCATGTGGGGCCCGCAGGGGCTTTGGGCTGAAGGGACTCCGTGTCATGTCGCTGGACACAAGGGTGGAGAAGTGCATTGTACAGTGTTGAGTAAAGGGCTCTGGGTATCCACAGTCGTGGTTTAGAATATGTACCATGAGGACGTGGCCGCGTATGGTGTTTGGTGTTGGGTTCTTGTTACACTTTCATATGATGCAACATATAAATAAGTTACTAGATGATTTTGGGGAGGGAAGGTATCTGCCACTTTTTTTTTTTTTCTAATACCAGAGTTTGAACTCAGAGTTTTGTGCTAGCCAGGCAGGCTGGCTGAGCCTGGCTAGCTTCACCGGGCAGGCATGAACTGCGATCCTCTTATCCATGCTTCTTATGAAGCTGGGATGACAGGTGTGTGTTACCACACCCAGCTTTACATTGGCTGCCAAGAGGTGTCTCAACTTTTGGCTCAGGCTGGCTTCAATCCAAGATCCTCTTGATCTCTGCTTCCTAAGTAGCTAGTATTTGCAGGCTTGAGTTGCTATGCCCGGAAGAGTCTGCGGCTTTTTCAAGTCAGTTTCAAGGTTCGAAGCTGATCGGAAAAGCCAGCCCAAGTATACCAGCTCCCACTGTGGCCAGTGGCTTCCTCAGGGTTCTTTTTGTCCATCTGCCTCAGAATGTAACCGGAAGACTTCTGGTGGGCCTACGGTGGTGGAACCAGATAGATGAAGACGGGAGGAGCCACTGGGTATTTGAAGCCAGAAAGGTATGCTGCAAGTCAACGTGGCAGCATGGGGCCTGGGGAGACACAGTGTGCAGTTGGCCTGGCTCCCATGGAACTGCATGTATCTGGATACACACACACACTCCTACAGATCCCACCATGTGGGAGCTCTGTGAAACTCATGTCCACCCGCAAAACCCATGAGAGCCGTTCCGCCATCCTTACAGGCCTCCCCTCACCACGTGGCCACCACGGAGGCCGAGGCGCGCATCTTCTGGCTGGGTCTCATCATCTGCCCCCTCATCTGGATGGTATTCTTCTTCACTACCTTGTTCTCCCTGAAGTTGAAGTGGCTGGTGAGGACGGCATCAAGCCCGTGGTTGCTGGGGTGAGGCGGGGCAGCGGGTGCGCTTCCCCCGCAGCGGAGCAGCTGCCTTGGCTCTGAGCGGCTGGCTTTGCTGTCCTCGCACAGGCCCTCGTGGTGGCCGGGATCTCACTGCAAGCTGCCAACCTCTATGGCTACATCCTTTGCAAGATGGGTGGCGACAGCGACCTCAGCAAGGTGGCGGCCAGCTTTCTGTCACAGACAGTGTTCCAGACGGTGCGTGACGGGCCCGCGCTGAGGGGAGGCTTGTGGGGGAATCGCGGGTCCTTCCCCACCAGTGGGGCTGACAGGAAATACACACAATTGTCCATTTCAAACCCAAGGCTGCAGCCAGCTCCACCATCGCCTCCAGAGCTGTTGTGGTCTCCCATGCTGAAATGTCCTCAACACTAGTTCCCACGGCCTCCCCAGTGGGGGTGCCCCCTAGTCTCTACCCATGGTCTCGAGGGACCACTTAGACACCTTTGCGGCTTCCCTTTGGTCTTAAGAGGAATCACAGGGGTTGTTCTGGTTTGGAGGGACAGGTGTGTCACAGATGGCTGGAGCCGTCCTGAATGGAACGAGGCTGCAGAGGTCAGACCCGCAGCCAACAGGTCCGCGGCCTCCCGGCCAGCTGCTCGCAGCAGGAACTCAGAACCACGCTGACTTTTCCCTTGCAGGCCTCTCCAGGGGATTTCCAGAAGCCGGGGCTCGGGCTAGAGATCCATCAGCGTTAGGTGAGCGTGCATCAGCCCCAGCGCTGGGAGCACCTGCTCTGAGGACCCAGCAGGGCGAGAGCCACACTGCACGGGGCCCGCCTGGGAGCTCTGAGCGCCACGCCCCCCCCCCCCCCCCCATCCTCACACAAGCAGGCTTGAAGGAAGAGGAGGGAGGGAAGTGAGGAGGGGGCTCCTCTCTGGTCCGCTGCTCTCTGTTCCTGTGTCTCAGCCTTTATTCACACCTGTCTCTCAGGAAGCCTTGAGAATCGCTGGCATGTGAGCCTGGCCTGGAGATTTCGATGTGTGGTACACCCACCACACGCGGACCTCTGTCGTATGGTGACTCGGGCTCCTCCAGAGATTTCTGACGGACCTCCCGCTGACCATGTGCACTGACCCCAGAGTGAACCCCAGCATGAAGCTCTGCCTCTGCTAGATTCTTCGGATGGTGAGCATGGGACAGTTGTGGAAGCCACGCCCCTACCATGTGCCTCCCCCCCCCCGCCCCCGCCCCCAGGCTGCGTATCCTTAGAGGTAGGGGCCACAGGCAGGGGCTCCTGGTGGCTTCAACAGAGCGGCCTCCGCAGCCCTGTCCTGGGACTTCCAGAAGCAGGCCGCACAGGACAGGCTGGGAGAGATCTTTTATTTTACAATAACGCGCGTGTGTGTGTGTGTGTGTAAAGAGGGAGACTGAAGGCGCTCTGAGTGACAAACCAGCATCGGGTCCTCACACTGTCGGGCCTGAGCGATGCTGCTGGGGTCTGTGGCTGGAAATGGCTGGTCCTCACTGCACCCCGAGTTTCAGGAGTTCATGAGGTTCTCTCTGTGTGGCTGCTGGGAGGCGCAGAACTCCTGGATTCCTGGAAATCAGAAGAGATGTGAGAGCTCACAGTCACCTCTGCCTGAAGCCTGAGGCCACCGCGGGGCTGTCAGCTGGATCCAGCCGGTTTGGGATTTTGTAGTGTGTTTTCAATGACTCTAATGAGAAGGACTTCCGTAAATTTCACCCTCTGTAAAGCCATGGATTTGTTCACAGCGCTGATGAGTGGGGACATGTCCCAGGAGCCCCTCTCCCCCCGCTGGGCACACCTGAGGCCCGGGGTGGCCACTGTGATTGTCAGTGTGACCCCGCCTGCTCGCTCAGCGCGCTTTGCTCCTTCACATGACCCGGCCGGAAGGTGTCTGCCAGCGTGAGGCTCAAACACTTACTTTGGATTATATTTCTGTAGGCTAATGTGGCTGGCGAATCTGGTGCTTCAACAAAAAAAGACTGGCCCTTGTCACAGCTCTTACCTAAAAGATGAGACACATGGGGGCCAGTGAGGCTCTGCAGCCAGGCTCTGGGGCTCCCTCTGTGCCAGGGCCGATGTGTGGGTGCCTGGGCCCGCCCCACTCGTGGAGCCCAAAGCTGGGCAAGAGCTGGGGTCGCCAGGACCTTGGCCAGGTGCCCTCCACGCAGGCCCCCAGCTGCCATTTCTGCAAGTGAGCAGGGCTCTGGAGAAGTGATCTGAAACTTGGACAGGGGTGTGGTGGGGGTTCACATTGTAAGATCAGCAACCCAGCACAGGAGCAGAGCAGGACTAGTTCTCCAAGTAAAAGGATAATGACACCCATGGAATACAAGAGAAGATAGCAAAAGAGAGAGTCCCAAACGTCCTGGTGTGCTGGCAGCCATCTGTCCAGAACTGGGGGGGCTGGGAAGGTGGCTCAGTGGTAGAGCGCTTGCCTTGCATGCATGAGGCCCTGGGTTCGATTCCTCAGCACCACATAAGCAGAAAAAGCCAGAAGTGGTACTGTGGCTCAAGTGGTAGAGCGTTCGCCTTGAGCTGAAGAGCTGAGGAACAGTACTGGAAACAATATGGCGTGTGTACATGCAGATCCTTCAGGTCAACAGCAGCTGCCAGGACCCGGGGACCATGTGTGACCCCAGGGCACAGGGCGAGGGAGAGGCTGAGGTCGCCCTCTCTTCTCTCTACTCCAGCATGACATCGGGTCCCCTCGTGTCCTCCCAGGCATCTACCCCACTAAGTCTCCTGACCCCTAATCCTGTCTTAGACCTGCCTGGGGCAGAGACACGGCGTCCGGAGGAGCAGCTGCCCACAGGGCCTTCGGCTGGGGCCGGGCAGCATGGTGGCCTTGACGCGTTTCTCCTGTCACTTATCTGCTGCGTGTGTCCTTTCCTCTCCAGACCAAAACACTGACCACTGGCCCAGACCTGAGCTGACCTGCATCTCTCAGTCCCTCTACCCTGACAGACAAAACTGACTCCTGTGCTTGGGCGCAGACCCAGCCTCCCCTACAGCCGCTTTGCCCTTTCCGGCCAGGACCCCCGCCCGTGCCAGCAGTGCGGCACACGGGCACTGCCGCCTCGTGCTTCCCCGGCGTGGCGGGCTCAGCTGCGTGAGCTCAAGCCTTGTCAGGCAGCCAGGGGTCAGGAGCAGAGGAGAGTGGGGGTGGAGGCGGGTCACCCTCTCTCAGGGCAGAACCCTTCAGAGCACCAGACCTACTGTCTTGGGCACACGGGGTTAAAGAGCCTTTATTTTGTGTGAACACACCCCGGCTGCTGGGTGCTAGAGTGTGTCCACCTCGGAGCCTCACACCTCCACGAGGTGGCTCTCAAACCTACCCCAGCTGCCGCGGCCACTGCCTGTCCCCCTCTCCTGGGTGTCTCCCTTCCCTAGTGCCACTTCCAGTGTCCCAGAGAGTCGGCTTTGCTCTCCCAGGCCAGCTCCAGCGGCCCCTCACAGAGACTGCCTAATTAGGATGCGTCTGCCTCAGTTTCCCCATTGCTCTGATGTGGCAGTCACACGGACAGCCTCTCAGGATGGCAGCTGAAGCGTGAGCTCCCTGGGTCTGGCTCTGATGCCCGCGGTCCCTCTGTGCCTGCCCCACGCCATGCCAGCAGGGCTGGGTGGGCAGGAAGACCCCACCCCACTCACCCAGACTCACCCACCTATGTGCGGGTCCAAAGGCACCTTGCCGAGGAGAGGGGTGCCCAGGTCTTGGCACAGGGCCTCCGCACCCCCGGTGGTGGGAGGGAACACCTGGGATTCTTTCTGTGAGGATGGCAATGGGGAGGGAATTGTGAGGTGGCGGCCCCCAGCCGGACCCCGACACTGCCATGCCAGCGCTCTGCTTCAGTGAGCCGTCCAGGATCAGGCCAGGGGCTGAGGGCCAGGAAGTGGGGTCTGTGCGGCCCCCACGCCCACCCTCACCTTACACTTGGGGCAGACGAAGCTGCTCATGTTCTCCACCACCCCGATGATGGGCAGCTTCACCTTGCGGCAGAAGCTGATCTCCTTCCGGACGTCCTGGAGTGAAACCTCCTGCCAAGGCCAAGCAGACAGTGAACCTGGCGTGGCGGGGCAGATGGCCAGCAGCACCCTCTCCACGGTCTCGTGGGGAGCTGTCTGTCCCTGGCCACCCTGGCATCGCTCACCTGGGGGGTGGTGAGGACCACCGCCCCATCGATATGCGCTGCGGCCAGATACTGGACCACCGAGAGGTGCTCGTCAGAAGTGCCGGGCGGGGTGTCCACGATGAGGTAGTCCACGTCCCCCCAGTCCACGTCACGCAGGAACTGCTTGATCATGCCTGGAAGGGAGCGGAGGCCGCTGCCGTGGAGAGCAGCTGTGCCTGGGCTCTGTGCCCCGCAGCAGCGCTTCCCCATGGGCGACACAGCCTGGAACCAGACACATCTGGCTGCCCACAGTGAGGCATCTGGGGCACATCTGGCCCCCGCAGCACTGACAAGACTGCACAACTCTCCCCAGCACACCTACTCACTCTCCCAGCACTGCTGAGCCACCAGAAAACCCACTACAAGTAGTCCCAGGGGCTTGGAGACCAACACAATAGAAATTAAAAATTGTATAAAAGGTTGGGTCGGCCTCAAGGCTCTGCTCAACCCAGGAAGACAGAGGCAAACAGAGGCGTAGAAATGACTGGTGACACACGGGCTTAACCTGTGTGGGGCCTGCCCCCCCCCCCCCCAGCCCCCAAGATAACAAGACAATGAGAAGGACCACAGAGCCCCGCAGGTGACATGGGACAGGAGAGGCAGCAGGTGACAAACCGCTTTTCTTGGGTCCCCTCCAGATGACAGCGTCGTCAGGGCTGCTGAGCAGGAAACCCACGGACATCACCCCCAGGTTGTCCTCCACGTACTGCAGGGGACAGCAAGGTTCACTTCACCCAGCGCCGCACGGGGCCACTCCCATGCCCTATCCGGGGCCTGGCTGACAAAACTGCTCAGGGACTTGATGCCACCCTGCCCACGCACTGTCCCATCATCTCCTTAGCCACTTGGCAAGGCCGGCAGCCAGGGCCCTGGGCTGCCAATTTTAGCCTGTTATTTCCTGGGGTTTCAACTGGGCCTGGGGCTTGCTAGCCAGGCACTCTTCCACTTGAGCCACGCCTCTAGCTCTCTTTGCTTTTGTTCTTTTCCATAAAGGGTCTTCAGCCTTTATGCCCAGAGCAGCCTGACTGCAGTCTTCCTGTTTATGCCTCTCATAAAGCTGGTAGCACAGGCACACACCACCACACCCACCTGGTTGATTGAGATTGGGAGTTAAGTTCACTTTTTCCTGGGTTGGCCTCGAACTGTAATTCTCCCAATCTCTGCGCCCTGTCTCCCACCAAGTAGTTGGGATCAGAGGTGTGGGTCACCCTGCCCACATAGTTCTTTTAAGTTTTACTGGAACGCAACTGACATTTAGTCATGTTTTTTTCCAGCTACGCCAGCAAAGAATATCGGTCTATGAGCTACAAGTATTTACTGTCTGCATCCCTTGACTGACAGTTTGGCAATTCTGGTTTTAACAACAGCCCCAGGCCCCAAAAAGTACCTCGTAAAATCTGAGGCCTAACCCACAGGTAAGTGTAGACAAATACCGCCAATGTGCTGTACGGCAGCGTGATGTCACTGACATACGTGTCACTGACTTCACCGTCAGGCAGGGAGGGGGGACTCACCACGGGAGACCAGCCCGAGCCGCTCTGGTGAACCTGCGTGAACACAGCATGGCATCTGCATGAGACACACCAGGCCTCCACGCATGAACATGTCATACGAAGGGGGCCCTGTCCTCAGTCCAAAGCACTGCAAGAGTCTTACTGGGGCTCTGGTTCATTCTAGTGGGGAACCAAAACTTCCCAAGCTCAAATGTGACTCGAGTCTGTGGGGTGTTTAAAGGAGCCAGAGAAACTGGCTGAGGGTTGCAGCGCTGACCGTGGGATGTCTGCCGTCTTCGTGGTGCAGGAATGAAGGGAACTGCTCTGGTGGCACGGCTGGCCCCGAGCCTGGCCCGAGAGCAGTGTGCGCTTTGGCGTTCTGTGCTGCCCCCAGCGGGGCCTCTTGTTTATGAAACTAGCACAGAAGCGACGTCAGATTCCACATCACTCTTGGGAATTGTGCTTTATAATTTTTCATGATTGGTTATGTGGTCCAGTCTAGCCTTGAACTCAAGATTCTCCTTCCTTAGACTCCCAAGTACTGAGATTATAGGCGTACACCATCACACCCAGTGAAAATTATGCTCCTTTAAGCCCCATAGAGCAGTGAAAACTAAAGGTCTGTTTTTAAGTCTTACTTTTTAACAGCTTTCCTGAGACATGCAGAACACGCCATACAATCTGTGCACGGATAGCGTTAGTGGCTGCTGTATATTCGAAGAGCTGTGTGCCCACACCACAAGCAACTTGAAGCCATCAACTTCTGTGCTCCACCAAGAAACCATGCCCCCAGCCTCTACCGATTTGCCCATTCTGCACATTTCGTATATATAGAAGCCTATGATCTATGGTCCTTTATGACTGATTTTAAAGTTTTATTTACAAAGACAAAAACCTACTCCCTTTTATTTATAGTTGCTTCCTAAGTCATAATGTGCAAGGGCAAACGTGGTGGCCCCGCAGCACAGAATTGCTTCCTTTCCTTTTACTTCTCTGACAGCGTCTTGCTATGTTGCCCAGGCTAGCTTCCAACTCCTGTGCTCACACTATCTTCCTGCTTTGGCCTCCCGAGAAGCTGGGATTACAGGCATGTGCTACCATGCACATTTAAATGCTCCCACTTATCAAATACTTAGGTACTATTATGTAAGTAGTTGATACCCATGTTAGGTGGACAGAAAATGTGTTCCTGCTGGAGCAAGAGATGGAGGACATTTGGATCCTGCTATTTCACTTGGCAATGGTTGGCATCCCTGCCCTCTAACATCCTCCATGCCACCAGGACTGGCCACACTGGCCTCCAGCAACCCTCCCTCGGCCAAGAACAGGGCAGTTGTATCGGACTCCTGCCCCACAGCACCCCCGCCCACCTTCCATGCACAGCTGAGGACAGCTTCCCAGAGGGGAGGGCCGGCCTCTGCATGCTGCTGGCCCTGTCCTGGCCTGCGTCATTCCCCAGCCCCCAAGTCTCAGTTCCCCAGGGGAGACCACAGCCCAGAAAGTTTCCCTGGCTTCCGGAGACAGACGGCAGAGCCCGGCCCCAGTGTTTGTGGAGAATTTCCGCCTCTCACTTCTGCATTTCGCTGCCGTTTCCCTTCCTGAGAAGGCAGGGGAAGCAGGGCTCCCTATCCACTTCTGCCCCCAGCCTCGCTGCTGCTGAAGGCCATGGCTGCTGCTACACGCCGGCGTAAGTGCAACATTCGTCCTCTAAGACAATGGGCCTTACCTGTTCTCCTTCCAGCCCCATTATCTTGGGAATCGACGGCCCACAGATATCGATGTCCAAAAGAGCAACCTGGGAATGGATGATGCCAGGGGTTACAAAACTCACGGAACGGAGGGGAAAACAGAGAGCGAGGGAAAGGGGGACAGTGTCCAAAAGGGAATATACCTGACTTTACCTGACTTATGTAACTGTAACCCCTTCGTAAGTCACCTTTATAAAAACAGCTAAAAAATAAAAGTAAAAACTTGCCAGGGACCAGTGGCTCACACCTGTCATCCTAGCTACTTAGGAGGCTGAGATCTGAGGATTGTGGTTCAATGCCAGTCCAGGCAGAAAAGTCCGTGAGACTCTCATCTCCAATGAACCCCAGAAAAAGCTGAAAGTGGTGCTGTGGCCCAAGTGGTAGCGTGCTAGCCTTGGGCAAGGAGCTTAGGGATAGCACCCACCCAGAGTTCCAGGCCCAGGCCCGGCACAAAAAAAAAAAAAACCAAAACAAAAAACACAAAAAGAAACCAAAAACACTTCATGGAACATACAACGGAGGGGGAGGCAGGGAGAAGGCAGAAGGAAGCTGGTCTAACGTGGAGCACTTGGAGATCAGGAGTGATAGAACACGGCCCTGCCAGGTCACCGAGGCATGGTTCAAAACTCCCAGTGTGGGCATCGTATTGTGGGGTAAGGCCATGTGACCACTCAACTTCAGCCCATTTACTGCCTGGCCACAGGCATTACCGTCTCTGCTTTACACATGAGGAAACAGGCCCACAGAGGCCCAGGGCCCCGTTCCATGGGAGAGGAAGAAAGCTGGGCATAAATCCAAGTCTGCACTGTGAGGGCTCTTTCTCCTTCCCTGCAGGGTCTGAAAGGAGGCAAGAGACCCCAGCCCAGCTCCCACCAAGTCTCATTCTCAAGAGAAACTTAAGGGAGCAGAGTGCTCACTGGGGGCTTAGGCTCTGTCTCAGGAGATGCTGTGGCCCACACCCTCCACGTAGGGCTGAGGAAGGGCTGAGAAGGCCTTCAGGGGCTGGGCGAAGGGCAGGACCGGTCAGCATTCATCTCCACAGCGGGGATGTCTCACATCAAAGGGAAGCACCCCGGCTAACTTTGTACCTTGCCTCAGGTTTGTTTCTTGCTTCTCTCTAATCTCCCTGCGTGCCTGGCAAAGCTGCGGTCTGGACCCCAGTCCCCCCAGCTCCCTGGGGGTCTCTTGTGCCCTCTTTGGCCAGACCCAGGTGTGGACGGGACTTCGTTCTCACCTGTTTATCTCAAACTTCAGGGGCCATCTCACATATGTGCCTCAGACGTGGGGGAAGTGTGGCCGTCATGGTGACCCCAACAGGCCTTTCCCAGTCCCACGCTTCCTTCTGGAAACAACTACATCCGTTTCCTTCCAAGGATGAGCACACCCACACCACAGCAGGGAAATGAGCAATCCACAGATGGTGTGCTCTCCCTCTGGAGACTGGAATGGCTTCTGGCCAGTTCTGTACCCAGATCACCGGCCTAGACCCGTTACATGTGCTGCTCAGCAGGACCTGTGGTTGCTTCCCCTCCTGTCTGAGCCAGGCCGCCGAGCCCTGGCCTACAGCAGTCAGAATGGCTTCTCCCTTCAGGGGAGCTGACAGCAAGATGAGGCCTCGCCAGTTAGGTGGGGAGTGAGACAGTGGGGGCAGTCAAAACCCTAATCTGTCCTTTACCCAGCACCCCCAAACCTTACTTAGGATGACAAAGGGTTCTAGTGCTAGTCTCCTGAGGCTGTGTCATCTCATACGAGATTGCTGCCTAACAGATAGAACAATGAAAGGACAGAGAGATTTGGACTTGTTCTGCACGAGCTCTGTGTGCATATGCGCGCGCGCGTGTGCGCGTACACAGGCGTGCACACACACACACACACACACACACAGTCACTGTCCTTGCTTTCCTCAGAGTGGGGTAGCAGCGATGGCTATTATGTCATTCATGGAGCCCTTGCTATCGGCAGGCACACATCTCCCTCATGGCTGAACCCATTTCACATGTGGCAAGGCAGAGATCGAGACAGCCTGAGCAGCTGCCCAGGTCACGGCTGTGGTTTGGAGAAGCTGTGACATGACCCACCACACCTCCACTACACAGCTGTCACCCAGACAGCAGCAATGGGCGCCACGAGCGTTCCTGCTACTGTACACTTGAACAGAAACAAACATTTGTCCAGAAGAGCCAAATAGGAAACACTCTATGGGCAACATCAAGACTAGTATGGAGTACTTGCGTAACAATTTAAGAGCAATCACTTAGAAATGTAAGCACTGATTGTAGCTTGGAGGAGATGGTGAGTTGGATTTAGCCCAGTGAATACAGTTTGCAGACTTTTGGCTTAGATAACAGCCACATGAGGTTAAAATATTGAAGAGTCTGAGCACAACATAGGAAGTTACAGACTGTGAGGAGAAATGGACCCTTGCAGTCCACGTTCCTGGCTGGAAAGCCCAGGGAAACGGCTCAGCCAACCACCAGACTGTTTCTTGTTCTCCACAGGGGCGGGGACGGCGAAAAAGGCCCAGTGCACTCAGTGCAAGGAACCCTTCTCCACAAGACATCATGAGCCTCACTCCCTGGCCCACCTGCGTGTCTTCATCTTCAGCGAGGCCATGGGCGAGGTGAGCACTGAAAGTGCTTTTCCCGACACCGCCTTTCCCAGACAACACCAAGACTTTGTGTTTCACAGTCTTCATTTTCTCTTTGATCTCCTCTATGGCTGCAAAGAAAGCAGTTCAGGTAATGAAGTCCCTGCCTGAGTCACTGAGTGTCATTCCCCTGAGAGCAGGAAGTGTCACAGTCCTAGGGGCTGTTTCAAAGGATCCTGCGTGAGGTGCCACTTTGTCGAGTGTGGGAAGGAAACGAGACCAGCATCACAGCTGAACTCTTACCTGCTGGTTTCTGGGTTTGTTTCATCCACTAGAACAGGAACCCAGGAGGATGGGGGCTGTCTAAAGGAAGCTGTCGCCTGTTGTCCTTCCGTTCCTGAACAGAACCTTCCAGATGCTAAAGGTTCACAACCTGGGCAGAATCCCCTAGGGGACAACTGTCAACATCTAAAGACATTCATGGAGTGTCACTGCAAGGGGTGCTGCTGACATCTAGTGGTAGAGGTCAGGGGTGCTCTAAATGTTCTACAGTGCACAGGACAATCAATACCTTGTAACAAGGAATGGTCAGGTCGGAAGCACCAGAAACTGGTGCTCAGGATGAGAAATCCTGGTAGGTTTGTCATAAGGACCTGTCACCTGCCCTCACTTACTGTGCTTTCAATCTTCCATCTGATTTCAAATCCTTCCAATGACACCAGAATTATTTTTCTCACTCTTTTTGATGAGGATCAGGAGGTTAAGAGAGGTTAAGACCCTTGCTCATGGTCAAGATCCAATCTCTTTGAACTCCTTCAAGATTCTTCTCCCAAAGCCAGACACCAATGAGTGGCTCACTCCTGTCATCCTAGCTATTCAGCAGGCTGAGATCTGAGAATCTCCCTTCAAAGCCAGCCAGCCAGACTCTTATCTCCAATTAACCAGAAAAAAAAGCTGCACAGAGGTGTGGCTCAAGTAGTAGACGGCCAGCCATGAGTGGAAAAGCCAAGCAAGAGTGCAGAGCCCTGCATTCAAGTCTTTCTGTTGTTGAGGCCGGGTGTCCCTATGTAGGCTAGGTGGCTGCTAATTTCCAATCCTGCCTCAGCCTCCAAAGTGCTGGGATTACAGGTGTGCAGATGACACCTGGCTTGCCTTCCTGTTTTTTTCAAGACCCTTAGGTTCTCAAAATCGATCCTTCCTGGTACTCTTTTCTCCTTCCTTCCTTCCTTCCTTCCTGTCAGTCGTGGGGCCTGAACTCTGGGCCTGGGCGCTGTCCCTCAGCTCTTCAGCTCACGGCTAGTGCTCTACCACTTTGAGCCACTTCTGGCTTTTCCTGCTTATGTGGTGCTGAGGAATCGCACCCAAGGCCTCATGCCAGCAAGGCAAGCGCTCTACCACTGAGCCACCTTCCCAGCCCCCTTCCTGGCACTTCTTGTCACTGTGATTTGTTCTCTTGCCTGACACTGGGATTCTGTACCTTTCAGTTACCGCTCAGGCCCCGCCCCCATTTCCGCTCTTTTCCCCGCCTTTCTCTTTAAAAACTCCACGCCTCCCACGACACATAGTACCTGTCATTCATCCTCCATGTCCCGCCCTCTCACTGCCGACGCGATCTCCCCCCCCCCCACACCCCGCCTCTTCCGGGCCCGAGACTTTCACTTCCTGTGGCGGCCTTGCCCCTTCCTCACCCGGGTCCGGGGCGGCGCCGGCTCCGGAAGCACACAGCCGCTGGTTGGGGCATCCCTGACACGAGGCCCCGCGGCCCGCCTGGGCACTATCGGCCCCGGGACAACCTGCGCAGAGACAAAGTCGCGGTTAGAGCAGCTCGCTGCCCTCCGGCCCTGCCGCCCACGCCCGCCGCGCCAGCTCACCGTCAGGCGCCTCCTCCATTCTGCCGCTCTGGTCGCCGTCGCGCCCACCGGAACCCGCGGCGGCGCACTTCCGCCTCGCGGGCCCAATCTACCGCTCGGGCCACGCGAAATAAGTCTGGGAAACCAAGACTGCGCACGCGCAAACCTCTTGCAGAGTGGGCGTGGCCCTCCCGTGAAGCTGGGCTGGGGCTGTGTAGCCTAACTGCTTGTGGCCCAACAAGTGTAACGTCGGTGCGGCTCTGCCATCTCCCAGCCAGCCTGTATTCCTGTTTCCTCAGAGGTTCCAAATCCAGGAGTACCCGTTAGGTCTCTTCAGCCTCCTTTTTAATCTCTTTTATCCTGGTACATTCCTGTTCATGATTAACTTTTTCATTAAAAATAGTTTTTCCACTATGGATTCTTGGGTGGTGTTGGTTTGTTTTTGCAGTATTGGGGGTGTAACTCAGGGCTTCAAACTTGCCAGGTGGACATCCTACTACTTGAATCATTCTTCCAGCCTTTTTGTTTTGTGCCCATGCCATGGCTTGAACTCAGAGCCTTGCGCTTGCTAGGCTGGTGCGCTTATCATTTGAGTCCTGCCTCCAGCCTAGCTTTTTTTCTGGTTATTTTGGACATGGAGTCTCACAGGCTTTTTTGCCCCAGCAAAAAACAAAAACAAAAACACCCAGTGCCTCCATCCTTGATCTCAGCACCTGAGTAGCTAAGATGACAGGAGTGAGCTACCACACCTGGTTTAAACTCTGTGTTTATAACACATTATTCTATCATTTATGTTTCAGGATAAATTATTCTTTCTGGCCAGCTGCCACCACCACCCTCAGATTTGGCCAGGCAGGGAGGCCTTTTCAAGGACACTTCGATGTCCTTTTGATGCCAGCCCACCTTCTGGGAGCTTTGTCTTGCTTTCTGAAGAAAAGAGCACTTCCTGGCTCTCTGGCTATTATTGCTGCAGCTATTTCTCCCAGAGCCTGTTTCTTTTAGGGAATGGTGTTGAGAAACCACAGTCCTCTTGCTGCATGTTCTCTGCTGTTGGAGCATCAACGTTTGCTGCTTTGCACAGTCTAGAGACGGCATAACTTCTCTCCACGACAGCTCTACGGACAGAGAGGAGCCTAGTCACTACATAGGGAAGGGTCAACTTCCAGTCACTACAGCATTTTGTTCAGACCTCCTATTTGCTGGCTAGTGTGTGTATGTTTGTTTTAAGTGAACTTTCTTATGTCTGTCCCTTTAGTCCTATCTGTCAGGATTTACTGTCTCCATTTTTGATTGAGGAAACTGCAATTTAATATAAACTACTCCCTTCAAGTCACATGCCTGGGTGGGAATGTGAGTGGTGTGTGGTGTGTGTGGTGGTGTGTGCTCACGTGTGTCTACATTGATCCCCCGCTGATCTAGAGTGCAGTCTCACTCGCTACAGATTACTAGTCTTGTAACTACAGTGTGTTGAGTGCTACAACAGTGGAGTACGCGATTTAGCTGGGGGCATGGTGGTGCATGCCTGTAATCCCAGCTACTTGGGGTCAGAGGCAGGTGGATCCAAAGTTCAAGGCCAGCTTGGGCAGAGTAGTAAGGAGAGTGTAGCTCAGTGGTAGGTTGCTTGCCTAGCATTCATGAGGCCCTGGGTTTAACGGCAGACCAGAAGAGGAGGCAGGGGAAATTCCCAGAGGCGTCCATCTCAGTGGGAGCCTAAGGGCTGAAGGGGAGTCTGCTGTTGGGAAGGGTGGGGTGGGGATTGCTGAGCGGACAGCAGGAGTCAGCAAAGGCCTGGGGACCTGAAGGGCTCCAAGGACAGACCTGCAGGGAGAAGAGACTGCGATTTACTGCAGTCTAGCTTGCTGCCTTCCCTTTTACAGGATTTGACCCTCTACCTCAGGGTCATAGTTCACTGCCCTAAAAACCACCTGGTCTCTTCCTGTTCCTCCCTCTGCCCAGTACCACCCAAAACAAAGACACGAAATGTACCAGTGCTGGCGCTCACCTGCTGCCACCCCCACACCACTCCAGGGCATGGCATTCATAAGAGAAGCTGGGGACAAAGCGGGTATGTGGGAATCCCCCTAGCTTTCTGCTCAGTTTCCTCCACACTGAAGCTGCTAACAGCACTCTACTTTTTCTTCTTCTTCCTCTTCAATACTGGGATTTGAAGTCATTGCTCTACCACTTGGACAATACTCCCAACCCAAAGTCTATTCATTTTTTAGTAATTACTTTATTGTGATGGAGGTGATGTACAGAGGTATTACAATCGCATCAAGCAGTGAGTACATTCCCTTTTGTACAGTGTCTTCTGTTCCCTCGTTCGGTCCATTCATGTTTAAAGTGTGTTTATGCTTGTGACATCATTGAAGCTTCAATCTGTAATCAGGAGTTCTAGGCCAGACTAGGAATGTGGCTTAGTGGTATATTGCTTGCCTAGCATGCATGAAGCCCTGGGTTCGATCCCCCAGTACCACATAAAAAAAAAAAGCCGGAAGTGACGCTGTGGCTCAAGTGGTAGAGTGCTAGCCTTGAGCAAAAGAAGCTCAGGGACAGTGCCCTGAGTTCAAGCCCCAAGTTTAAGGACCCCTCATTACACTTTCCCAACCAGCACCTGTGGAGGTTTCCAAATTCTTATCTTTCTCTAGAGGTAGACTTGGGAGGCTTGAGGTCTGAGGCCACCGTGGGCAAATGCACTAAGAACAAAGCAAAAGCAGGGGAGTGTTTGCTTAGCAAGTCCTAGGCCCCTGAGTTCAAAACCCAGTGCCACAAAAACAATCAGCCAATCAATCAATCCGGCTGCATTCCTGGCACCTCCTTCCTCACACCAATTCACTCAGTGCCTTGGAGGGGGGTCCCTTGAGGGTTTCAGTAATGGCAGAGGAGGGTGAGGGTAGCTCACGTTTTTTTTACGCTTCACGTCTGCTGACAAAGTGTAAGTCCTGATGGCTAGCTCTCGGGAGAGGATTGGGTAAATCACTTCGAGTCTTCAGCCTCGGTTTGTACAGCCGTATGCAAGACAAGGAGAATGAAAGTATCTAGCGCATGAGGTTGCTGGGGGTCAAGCAGCTCGCCTGAGACACCAAGACAGAGCTTGCTCTAGACAGAGTCAGGGATCCAGCAAGTTTGCCTTCAGGTAAATTCAGGTTGTAGGTCATTGGCCAAAACCACCGGAAGCACCGGAGACCACTGCAGTTCTCGTCTGACCAGTAAGTGGCGCTCTTCCCCTATCTGATCAAGGCACTGTGCAAAGGGAAACGAAGTTAGGACAGGAATTTTTTTCTAGCCTGCTGAAATATCTTGTTTCCTCTTACTGGGTTAATCTTTCCTCTAACTTCTAGAACATACAGAATATTGTTCTAAGAACTTTCTATGTACTTGGCTACTAATACTCTTAGGGTGTCTTTCCTTCCCCTCCCTCCCAAATACTGGTTGTGTTTTCCTGCTAACATGGTGTATTTTACCTTGTTGAGTCCTGACACTGTTTTTCTGTTTGTTTGTTGTTTGGCAATAATGGACTTTGGACAGATGTGAGCCACCATGCCTTGCCACGTGCTGAAAATTTTAGAAATATTCTTGATCTTTCTTCCAGGCCCAAACCAGTTTGCTGGGAACGTTTTTTCGTATTTTTTAGAACTTGCATTTTAAAAAGCGTTGTCAGATTGGATCCAAGTGGTGTCAGTCTGGAACGCATTCTGCCCTCTTGCTGAGGGCTTCCGAGGCAAGTTCTGGAGGAGCGTGCATGATGAAATTTTCCCCGGGGGTGGGCAGGCAGGATGGGAGTTATTCCCAGCCTTCTGCGAGCTCTGGGGTCCGTCCTCTGTGCTCATCAAGTTTGCTCCCAGGCTTCCATTTTGCTCCTGTGCCGAAGATGAGGAGGGGTGGGGGTGTGGGGGGGGGCAAGAGAGAGGGAGGCAGGGGTGTCCTATGCCCATCTCCAGGGCTCTGTGTGTGGCCACTGTTGCTTAAATTCAGTGGAAGAGTTCATGTATTAATCAATCTCCAAACACGAATACCATACCAGCCTCTGCTTCGCTGGCTGACCGCTGGCATGGATTCTTGTTATAGCAGTGAAAGAATGCATATGGATTACTTATACTTATATACAACAGGTATGTACGTATATATGTACAGAATACCTTGTCAAAAATGTATGGGGCTGGGCTGTAGTTCACGAAGCTAGCAGTGGGTTCTGGATTCAATCCCAACTTTTTTTGTTGTTGTTGTTGGTATCACTGGGGTTTGAACCCAGGGCCTCAGGCTTACTTAGCTTGAGCTTTACCACTCAATCCACACTGCCAGCCTGTTTGTTTATTTTTGCTGTTTATTTTGGAGATGGAGTCTAACACACTTTTCCGCCTGAACTGGTCTTGTGCAGGGACGTGTCTAGTAGACAGAGGCATTCCTTGCTGTCCACAAGAGGGGGACCCTAGAGAACACACGTCTAGCTGGAAGCTACGCCTGCCTTTCAATGAACGTCTTCTGGGTGGTCTCCTTACACATGCGCAGAGTGTGAAGGGGAGGATGTTTGTTTCACTTCACACTGGACTGAGGTACCAGAACTAGGTCCCATGCCTGTGTCTGTATGGCTGTGTGAGCCAGGGGCCCTGGGAGACAGGGATAGGGCACAATGGGCTTCCTGGGGTGTTGATGCTGTCATCTTGATTGTGATGATGGTGTGTCTGCAGGACTGAGCTGAGGAGGGTGTTCCTGTGTTCAAGCTGTAACTCTGACTTAAAGAAACCACACGTGGGAGTCCATTGTAGTGTTGTTTGTACCAACACAGGGCAACATCTGAAATGCTCAGCCATAAGGAACAGTCAAATCAATAGTGGTATATCTATAACAATGGAGTACTATACAGGCGCCAAAAAGGCAGAGGTGGATTGGATGTTTATGTCCTGAGATAGCATACTCCTTAAGAATATTGTTATGTGGGAAACAGTGTGTGTGGTATTTACCACTGATGATACACATCATAGGATCTGTACCAAGTGATCTTTATCATTAATGGTAAATAAATAATTATACATGTTTATCCATGTGTACGGTATTTCTAAAAAAAATCTAACAAGAATAGTTTCTCTGGAGAGGTATAAATAATAGCCAAGGCTAATGAGAAACTCTGAATTTCACTTTATACTCCTCCACACTACACCAAGTTATTCCCCACTTAAAGAAATACCTGAGGGCTGGGAAGGTGGCTCAGTGGTAGAGTGCTTGCCTTGCATGCATGAGGCCCTGGGGTTTGACTCCTCAGCACCACATAAGCAGAAAAAGCCAGAAGTGCTGCTGTGGATCAAGTGGTAGAGCGCTAGCCTTGCGCTGAAGAGCTGAGGGACAGCGCCCAGGCCCAGAAAAGAAAAGAAAAAAAAAAAGAAATACCTGAGCTGGGTGCCAGAGGCTCCCGCTTACAATCCTTACTATTCCGAAGGCTGAGAATCACAGTTCAGAACCAGCCCAGGCAGACAAATCCAAAAGACTCTTACCTCCAATTAATGAGCAAAAAGCTGGAACTGAAGGCTTGGTTCAACTGATAGAGCACCCAGTGGGACTCACAATCCCTCTTAAAAGTCAGGTGCATTGCCAGGCACTGGTGGCTCATACCTCTAATCCCAGCTACTCAGAAAGCTGAGATCAGAGGAATGGTTCAAAGCCAGCCCAGGCAAGAAAGTCCGTGAGACTTATCGCTAATAAACTATTCAGAAAAAGCCAGAGGTGGTGCTAGGTCTCAAATGGTAGAGCACTAGACTGAGCACAAAGAGGCTCAGAGACAGTGCCCAGGCCCTGATTCAAGGCTCAGGACTGGCAAAAAAAAGGCCAGGTATACTGAAGTATAATTTATGTCCAATAAAATTTGCTGTTTTAGTAGAAAGTTCTGTGTATTTTGGCCAATATGAACAGGTGAATAATGTCCACTCTAGTCAGGGATATGAAACTTTGTTATCATACATACCCAATTTTCTGATTTCCTTTCCTTGTCTATCTTCCCCTCACCTCCAGCCCTGGTCACTACCTCTGTAAGTGGAATCATAGAGCATGGTGGCTTATGAGCCTAGCTGTGTCTGCCTAGCCTGACGGTTAAAATTCATGTGTGTGTGAACTGTGTGTGTGTGTCTGTGTGTGTGTATGTGTGTGTCTGTGTCTTGAGGTTTGAACTCAGGATTTGGGTGCTATCCCTAAGCTTTTTTACTGAAGGCTGGTGCTCTACCACTTGAGTCATAGCTCTACCTCTGGCTTTTGGATTGTTGATCAGAGATAAAAATCTCACTGCTGCCCAGGCTGGCTTTGAACCGCGATCCTCAGATCTCAGACTCCTGAGTAGCTAGGATGAAAGGCATGATCCAGCTGTGTCCAGCTGAGATTCATTCTTGCTATTGTCAGCATCCTGCTGGTACTAATCCAAGGTATGGGTGGACCCCGTTCGGAAGCCATCTTGAGGACACAGAAAGAAGGAAGACGGCTTGACTAACCAAACAGGCTCCAGGCGGCTCGAGTTCACTGCATTACATTTGCTCCCACTGGGCCAAGTTCCATCTGGAATTTCTTCCCTTGTTACAGAGGAACAGATAGGCGTTTTCTGTGCCCCGACGACATCTGTGCATTGGGAAACTCATGTTCCCTCTGTTGATAAGATGGCTTGATTTTTTTTTTCCTTAGCAGTGTTGGGGATCAAACCTAGGGCCTTGGACTCGGGGGTGGGGGGGGGGGTAGTGCCCAAGTGGTAAAGCTCTTGTCTAGCAAGTGTGAGCCTCTGAGTTCACCCCCCCCCCCCCCGTGCACACGTGAGGCGGGTGCTTGGTGGCTCGCCCATGCTGGATGGGCTTTAACTTCGAACCCCACTGGTCTCAGCGAGCAGGTGAGCAAGAGCCAGGCCCAGGGTCTCTCTCCCAGGCTTTATGACAGCGGTGCTGAGTCACAGAGGCAAGTTGGCCTTTCAAGTATGGCCTTCGCTCCCTCCCCAGGATGCCTTTGCCCCTTGGGTAGAGTTTTGCCTGTGTGGGGCAGGTGGGGGACAATGGAATTTCTTGGAACCACTCAGACAGCCAGCTACTGCAGCCCAAAGAAAGCATGTGGCCCGGGCTCGCTGCCCCCTGCCATGCAGCAAGAGTGCTACCAGCCCTATCACCTACCCGGGTATCGCTACCTCAACTCCTGGAGACCCGGCGTCTTCTACAAGATCTCCACCACCCAGCTGTGCCCCGAGGAGTGCCGCCCGGCCCTGCGACCCTCGTCCATGCTGCCCTCGCTGCGGTCCTCCCTCTTCTGCCGCTACAGCACCCACGATTGGGAGCAGTCCAACGACCTGCAGATCCGCGGGGCCGAGGCCTCCAATCTGTGGGCCAGCCGGATGACCAACGACTCGCTGCGGCTCATGCAGGACAAGGAGCAGCTCACACGCCAGATGCAGGAGGGGTCCACCCGGAACCTGAGCCAGAGGCTGTCGGACATCGGCTTCTGGAAATCCGAGTTATGTTACGAGCTTGACAGGCTCCTAGTGGAGAGCCGGAGCATGGATAATATCAAGAGGCGGCTGGAGTGTGCAGCTGAGCAAGTGAACTCTCCGCTGCAGGTAACTGAGCGGGGCAGGCGCAGGGGGCCGGCTGGCCGCGCGCCACCAGCCACCCTGGGCAGGCGCTGACTGGAGACCACCCAGAAGGCTGGCTTCAACTGGATCCTCCAGTATGATCTTTTGTTTTCCTTTTGCCAGTCCTGAGGCTTGAACTCAGGGCCTGGGACTGTCCCTGAGCTCCTTTTGCTCAAGGCTAGCACTCTACTACTTGAGCCACAGCACCACTTTTTGCCTGGATGTGGTACTGAGGAATCGAACCCAGGGCTTCATGCATGCTAGACAAGCGTTCTACCACGGAGTGAACTTCCCATCCCTTTTTTTTTGGGGGGGGGGAGATTTTTAATCAGAAGCAATTCTGGATACTATCCAAGAAATGGAAGTTTTCCAGACTGAATGGAATTGGTTGTGTGTGTGTGTGTGTGTGTGTGTGTGTGTGTGTGTGTGTGTGTGTGTTTCCTCCCTAGGTTTACATGAGCATTTACAGGCTTTATTTAGACATTGAGAGGCCAGGCCTACTGATTCACGCCTGCAATCCCAGCTACTCGGGAGATGATGGAACTAGGAGGATTGTGATCTGAGGACCAAAGTGAGCACCTGACATGCTCTGAAAAAAAAAATGCACTTGCCAGGTGCCTTGGCTCATGCCTGGCAACCTAGCTACTCAGGAGGCTGAGATCTGAGGGTCAGGGTTCAAAGCCAGCCTGGGCAGGAAAAGTCTGCCAGACTCTTATCTCCAATAAACCACCTGAAAACTGGAAGTGGTAGAGCGCTCGCCACGAGATGAAGAGCTGAGGGACAGCGCCCAGGCCCAGAGTTCAAGATCCACGACCAAAAAAAAAAAAAAAAGTGCAGTAAAACCAAAAAGAGTGAAGCATGGTTCAAATGAGAGGGCCAGGACCTTCAACCACAGTGCAGAAAAAAGAAAAAAGACACGGCTCATGCTTCCCTACCCTGCCGCCCTCCTCTTCCTCCTCCTCCTCCTCCTCCTTCTTCCAATCCTGGGGCTTGAACTCAGGGCCTGGGTGCCGTCCCTGAGCTTCTTCTGCTCAAGGCTAGCACTCTACCACTTGAGCCACAGCACCACTTCTGGCTTTTTCTGTGTATGTGGAACTGAGGAATTGAACCCAGAACTTCATGCATGCTAGGCGAGCCCTCTACCACTAAGCCACCTTCCCAACCCACATGTGTGCCCTGTAATGCACTCCATAGTTTGCTTACTGATGACTAGAATGTTGGCTCAGCTGGGACAGACTTTGTGCTCAAGACCAGCACATGGTGGCAGTGAGCCCAGGCATCTGTGCTGGTGGACGTTGACTTCCCGCCAGCCTAGGACCGAGTATTCCGTCCATAAACCTCCATGAAACCATCACCTTCCGGTGGACTCTCCTGACACCGGGTCTGTCAGCCCCCGCCATGAGGGTTGCTTTGGGCAGCAGGTAACAGATCACGGCTTAAGCACGGTGTTTCCCTTCCGCCACAGTGAGGATTCTCGAGGCACCTGTGTGGGCCAGGCTCCCGCAGCCTTCCTTGATGCCTGAAGGGACCGGGCACCTGACTTTCTGCTCCAAGTAGGAGGCTCTTTCGTACAGCAAGCGCCTGTGCAGCAGGAAGATTGAGAAGCGGGTGAGGGTGTCCCTAGCTACTAGTGTACATCTGCTTTTCCCAAGCCTGGCCTGTGTTTCCCATGAGCCTATTCGCTAGCGCTCGCGCGGGCCCCTGGCTGTCCAGAAGTCCTGCTGTGGAAATGTGTTTCTCTGCATCTCAGCCCCCTTCTGTGGTGGGGGGCTGCTCTGGGCTCCCCGGAACAAGGCTGGAGTTTCCGGGGACCTAAGGGCCTGCAGCCTTCCTGCAGCCAGCCCCACAGCTGGTCCTGCAGCTGGTCCTGACCTGGGCACCTCCTCTGCGTCCCGGGCTGCATCCTCAGGCCCGGCAGCCTCTTGAGGCACCGCGGTGACCCCGCTTTCCCGGGCTTCCATCTCCTGCTCCCCTCCAGTCATGCGCCCCCCCCTACTCCCCAGCAATCAGAATGAGCTCAAATATCAAATGAATCCTGCTAGTCTCCCCCACCCTCCCACTAGCTCCATTGGTGGCATCCCAGAATTTAACATCTAAATTCCTGAACTCTTCTACCCCTTCCTATCTGGAACTCTACAGCGCTATTGCTCTAGCTGTACATCTCCACTCCAGTCCCAGGGCCTTCCTGTCTGTGCCTCCGACCTCAGGGCCTTTGTATCTGCAGTTTCCTCTTCATGTCGCATTACACCTCCTGTCTCTTCAGAGAGTTCCTCCTGACCACCAGGTCATCATATATATAGATATATATATACCCCCACACACACACATATGCACACACATATGTGTATGTGTGCACACACGCAAGCCAGGTACTGGGGCTTAAACTCAGAACCTCTCACTCTGTTTTTGTCTCTCTGTCATGGGACTTGAACTCGGGGCCTGCTGGATGTTGTCCCTGAGCTTCTTTTCCTCAAGGCTAGCACTCTACCACTTGAGCCACAGCACCACTTCCATTTATGTGATTGTGTATACATGTGTGTGTATGTGAGTAGTTAATTAGAGATAAGAGCCTCATGGAGACTTTCCTGCCTGGCTGGCCTTGAACCATGATCCTCAGATCTCAGCCTCCTGAGTAGTTAGGAGTAGTTAGTAGTGAGCCTGTAAGGGGTCCCCAGCCTCGTGTGTGTGTGTGTGTGTGTGTGTGTGTGTGTGTGTATTTTGTTGGTCATGGGGCTTGAACTACGGGCCCCGGTGCTGTCCCTCAGCTTTTCAACCCAAGGCTAGCGCTCTGCCACAACTTCACTTGTGAGTTTTGCTGGTTAGCTGGAGATCAGAGTTGATGCTCAGCTCTCAGCCTCCTGAGTAGCAAGGATCACAGGGGTGAGCCACCAGTGCCGGCTACTGTGTCCTTTTGAGAAGGCTGGGGGAGATGAGAGCAAGTGGCATGGTCTCACAACCGCGCCCCACTGCCTGCCCGGACCCTGCCTGCCCTAATGCAGCCACATGCTGCAGCACCCCCCAGAGGGCGCAGGGGAGGCAGACGCCCACGGAATGCCCCGTGGTGAAGCCCCTTGGCAGGTGAGCCACCCATGCTTCCCCCATGCTCCTGCAGGTGGCGCTCGAGTGCCTGTACTTTCGGGAGAAGAGGGTCGGGATTGACTTGGTCCATGACAACGTGGAGAAAAACCTTATCCGGGTAAGGGGTCCCCCTGAAGCTTGCCCAGCTCTGAGCAGGGAGGGCCAGCTGGCCGGAAGTCATTGAGCTGCCCACGGGGAAAGAAGTCACACATGCCACCCCATGGAAAGGTAGGACCCGGGGGAAAGCGGGAGAGATGGAGTTGTGGATCTTCAGCCTGTGTCAGGGTGACCCCACCAGCAGCAATGATGCAGCTAGCGTTTATGCAGCACCTGCAGTACATCATATCCCTTCACGATGCAATAATCCACAAGGTAACTCGTGGCCCACGGTGGGTGCTAGATTTTCCTTCAATCTGGAAGCATATAAACAGTAGGACCGGTGTGGTAGCACACACTTATAATCTCTGCACGGTGAGTCTGAGACCTTGTCTCTGGAGGAAAACAAAAGAAACCCAAAGCAAGGGGGGGGGAATAGAGATAAGGAAGGAAAGGGATGGAAGAGAAGGGAAAGAAAGGGAAGGAAAGAGGAGGGAAGGGCAAAGAAGGGAAAGGAAGGGAACTGAACCTGGACCCTCCACAGCTGACCTCAGTGGGGGGGCCCTGGGGGTCGCAGGAGTGGAGACTCAGTCCCCACTCTGGAATGTCACTGGGGAGACCAGCATGGTCTGTGCAGGGCCGGGCGCGGCGCTGACCTGTGAGCTTTCCACCCACCAGTGCCTGCTCTTTCTGCCATCTTTATTTTTCATTCCAGGAAGTCGATTTGCTAAGATGTTCTCAAGATCAGATGCGAAATTTAGCTCAAAGAGTCAATGTTCAGATTCGGTAAGTGTGGGGGGGGGTCTTCCCTCCCCTCCCCACCCTGGGGCTTGTTGGGGGGGGGGGCACTGTCCCTGAGCTTCTTTTGCTCAAGGCTAGCACTCTACCACTTGAGCCACAGCACCACTTCTGCCTTTTTCTGTGTATGTGGTACTGAGGAATTGAACCCAGGGCTTCATGCATGCAAGGCAAACACTCTACCACTGAGCCACCTTCCCAGTGCTTGTGGCTACTCTTGTTTGCAAGGATGCCCAGCCAGAGGGCAGCGTCTCCCAGAGGCCTTGCTTAGTCTGGGACTCTCCGCAGGCCAGCTCTGAAGCCGGGGATGGCTGAGGGTGGGTGACATGGGGGTGGCCAGGCGAGGGGCCGGGGCATCGCCAGAGGGAGCAGGTGGACGCCTGGAGCCTGGAGTCTTCAAAAGCCACCCGCTTTGTTCTTGGGAGCTGATGTAACTGGTGTGGTGACACCCAGGGGGCTCGTCGTGTAATTAAAGGGAGACCTGGGCTTTATGGGGGTGGGGGGGCCTAGCTCCCCGGAGTCAGCTTCCTACCTGGGCCTGGAGCCCAGCCCTGGCCTCTAACTCTTTCAGGACAAGCCACCCTGCTGGTTCTTCCTCTTCTTTGACTCTTGACCCAGAGGCCCTCGGCAGCCAGGGCAGGCAGGCCGGCTTGCCAGGGCTGCCGTCCTGCTGCGTGGGGCACAGTGGAAGGGGATGGGGGGGGTGAGGGGGGCAGCTGGCCCCTCAGCTCCAGGAGCCTGGCATCTTGGTCAGAAACAGCAGCCACCTGCCCTGCCAGGACCCAGATTCTCAGAGAGACCAGGACTGGACAAGAGAGAGTCACCCCACTGTCATCCAGGGGGACCATGGGGTGTGGGTGGGGCAGGAAAGATCCCAGCAGGGCTGAATGCCAGCACTCAGTGGCCCATTGATGACCTGTTTGTGGTCTGTCAATTCACTCAGAGAACCTTAAGTACTTTGATTTCATTCATTTATTTTGGCCAGTCCTGGGGCTTGAACTCAGGGCCTGGGCACTATCCCTGAGCTTCTTTTGCTCAAGATTAGCACTCTACCATTGGAGCCACAGCACCGCTTCTGTCTTTCTTTCTGCTTCTTTTTCTGTGTATGTGGTGCTGAGGAATCAAACCCAGGGCTTCGTGCATGCTAGGCAAGCACTCTACCACGAAGCCACATTTCCAGCCCCAACTGCTTATATTTAAACAAGCCGCTTTCAACAAAAGGAGATCTTTCATAGGCCAGTGTCTTTTAGTGTACTTTCTCTAAAGTTATTGAGGCTTTTGTTTGGTTGTTTGGTTGGTGTGTTTTGTTTGTGCTGGTCTTGAGGCCTGGGCCACTGTCCCTTAGCTCTTTCCATTCAAGCCTGGTACTCTACCACTTGAGCCATAGCTGTACTTCCCACTTATTTGCTGATTAAGTGGAGGTTGAGTCTTATAGACTTTCCTGCCTGGGCTGGCTTTGAACCTCAACCTTAAGATCTCAGCCTGCTAGACCTGGCACCCTGCAGAAGGTGTTGTTCTAAAAACTTGCTTATTTTAATTGATCCATGAAAGTAATGGATTTGCTACAGGTGATATGGCACTGGGTGGGGTAGGCAGATGCAGCTCATTAGCATCCGCACTATCTCATTTATTTTATTTTGTCCCTTGAGCATGGTAAACTAAGACTGTGATACATTGCTACTCATTACAGTTGCTATCTTGCTACAACACACCTCTTATGTGTATTTCTTCGAGCTGAAACTTTGTATCTTTTGACCAACTTTTCTTTCCACCCCACCCCACCCCACCCCAAGCCTTAATAACCTTCCCCACTCTTCTAGAAATGAAACTTTCTTAGGTTCCACCTATGAATGAGAATCATGGGCACTTCGGTTTTCTGTACTTGGCACATTTAACTTATTATGTTTCTTCCTTTTTAACTGCTGAGTCGTATTCCATTGTGTATTTCTATCACATCTTCTTTATCCATTTGTGTTTCAGTGGACACTTAGGGTAATTCCATAATGTGGCCATTGTGGCTAAGGCTGTATGAAGGCTGTGGTAAGGGTGTCTCTTTGACATCCTGATTTTTATTTCCTTTTGGTCCATATACCCAGGTGTGGGGTGGCTGGGTCAGGTGGTCGTTCTAGGGGGAGTTTTCATGCTGTTTTCCATAATGGCTGACTCGACTTCCATTCTGGTGAGTAGTGTGGTGCAGTGCCCTTTGTTCCACTCCTCCGGAGCACTGATTATCTTTCATCTTCTTGATAACAGCATTATACAGGCATGAGGTGATAGCTCATTATGGCTTAATGTGATGTTTTGTTTTGTTTTGAAGAACCGGTTGGCCATTTGTATGTCTTTTTTTTTTTTTTTGAGAAAAGTCTCTCTAGATCCTTCGCCATTTTAAACCTGCAGTCACGCCCATGCTACTCAGCTGTTCTATGTACGTTTGTGAAATGTCTTAGCTATTCACCCCTTTCCAGATAGATGCTTTACAAATCTTTTCTATCATTCTTTAGTTTCTTTTTCTTTTTCTGGTGATGGTTTGCTGTGCAGAAACGTTTTAGTGTTCTATAATCCAGGTTTTATTCTTGTTGCCTGTATTGAGTCTCTCTCTCTCTCTCGCTCTCTCTCTCTCTCTCTCTCTCTCTCTCTCTCTCTCTCTCGCTCTCTCCTCTCTCTCTCTGCTAGTCAAGTGCTGGTGGCTCAGACTTATAATCCTAGGCACTCAGGAAGCTGAGATCTGGAGGACTGTGGTTTGAGGCCAGCCCAGGAAGACAAGGCTATCATGCTCCAATTCCAAAATAACTAGTAAAAAGCAGGGCTGGAGGCATGGATCAAATGGTGGGGTACCAGTCAAGCAAATGTGCAAGGCCCTAAATTCAAACCATAATCTCGCGAAGGAATGTTTTTTTTTTTTTTTTAATCACTGCCAAGTCAAGGCGGGGAGTGTCACCTCACATTTCCTATGGGGTGACAGTGTCAGGTTGTTCCGGTCTTTGATCCACTTGGAGGCAGTTTTGTCCAAGGCAGGTGCCCAGGTGTCCTAAAACCATTTGTCCAGGGGACAGACTTCTCCACTGGGGATCCTTTTGTTGGAAAAATCACTTGGCCCCAAACGCATGGATTTCCTTCTGGGCTCTCCATTTTTGCCTTCCTTTAATAGTGTATGCGGGGCTTACTATTTATGGTAGGTGAGATTGGTTTTCCAGATGTGGCTGCCGTATGATGCACAGGGCCGCCAGGGTGAAGAGAGGGAAGGAGAAAGATTCAGAGCTGAGTGAACGAAAGCCCAGATGTGAATTTGGGGAGCCAAACCCTGGAAGAGCGATGCTGGTTCCTGGGCCTCGCTCAGAGGGTGAAACAGGAGCTGGCACACGGAGAAGCGGTAGAGTCAGGAGACAGAGAGCTCTGACGCCAAGACACAGAGACAGGCCGGGCAGCGGTGGCTCACGCCTGCCATCCTAGCTACTCAGGAGGCTGAGACCCAAGGATCCCAGTTCAAAGCCAGCCCAGGAGAGAAAGTCCATGAGACTCTAATCTCCAATGAACCAGCAAAAAGCTAGGGAGAGATGGATGGACACAGAGAAAGGCAGAGGGGGCTGGGAGACAGACTGACAGATGACAGTGAGGAGAGGGAAGCAGACATGGGGGGAGTAGGAGAATGGGGAGCAGGTGGGGCCCCCCGACCTCCGTGGGGAAGAAGCTAGTTTGGGGGCAATCACAGTTGATCATAGCCTGCCCCCCCCCCATCCCTCCATAGAAAGGCAGCTCCAGCTGCTGGAGGGTGGAAGGCCTTGGAGGCCATTAGGCAGATGGCTCCCTGCTGCTCTGCCCCGGGTGGTGCCCCAACATTGGAAGGGGGCTGGGCTCCCCGTTTTCTGGGCCAGCCTGCATCACCTGTACAGGGCTGTGTCTTCATGGAGCAGAAATGGTTGTCCCGGACTGGGGAGAAGCCCAGCGTGGCTCTTGGCCCTGGCTGTGCCAAGAAAGGGAGACCAGGCTGCTCCTTCCTTCCCCAGGCCTCACACAGGCAGGGGCCAGGCAGCGGGAGCAGCTGGATTTGGAGTCAGGTTCCTCACCCCCCGCCCCTCCCTGTTACCTGCTAATGCCAGGACATGTCTGCTTTCCGTGGTGTCGTAGACCTCCTCTCATTCCAACACATCAGGCAAGATGGGGCCCCGGCTCTCCAGGGCTCTGCCAGCTTGGAAGACCCCAAGGCCGCCAGATGGTTCTTCCTGCCCTGACACCACCTCCTACCTCCTACATGCTCTGATAGGCAGGGACCCAAGCCAGGACTGAATTTTCCCACTCCTGCACCTCTGGGGTCCCTCTCCAAACCAGCACACAGTAGTGGGGGGGGGGGGAGATAAACAAGCGGAAGAGAAGCAGACAGGCTTTGGAAGAACCAAGGGAGCAGAGTTCAGACACAGAGATTAAGAAATGCTTCAGCCCCTGTTGGTGTGTCTTTGACCAGGACTCAGCTTTTTCAAGAACACAGAGAAACAGGAAAGGTTCAGGCTGAGAAGGTCCTGGAGGCAAGAGATACAGGCCGGCTAGCCTTTAGCGTCCACTAAACTCCTTAGGTCTGAGGTGGGCTTCTATTAATAGATAAGAGTTATTTACTGTTTGCCTTTGAAGACAGGAATGTGATGATTTTCCCCCTCCCTTTAAAATGTACTTAGGCTTTCAAGGCGATTTGAAAAGGAGGAAAATAACAGCGACTTTGGTATTTGGGCAAGAGGTATGAAAGTGGTTGTCAAAAGCCTAGAGTCTGGCCAACAGTGGCTTGTCCAAACTTCTCAGCTATGCTCCCAGCTCTCCTAGGCCCAAGTCCTGGCCCCGCCCACTGTCTTCCCACCCACTCAGCCTTCGCCTGGCCTAGTCCTCGGCCCCGCCCACTCCCGGCCCCGCCCACCCCTGGCCCCACCCACTCCCTGGTTGGATCTGCTTTCCAGTCCCTGTTTGTTCCTCTGCTTGTGCACACGAGACCCCAGCTTGGCGTTCTCATTCCTCCATGCCACTTTGGCCCCACCAGCGGGGCTATCAGCTGGGAAAGCCCTGCTCAGGCATCTCTTCAGCCGGCCGGACTCACGGCCCTTGCCTCCTGAGTGGGTGATTTCCTTCTCTGTGTTGCTTCTGTCCTTTTCAGTCCCGCCCTGCTGTCCTCACCGTGTTTGACGGTCATCTCGCTGTGTGTCGTCCTTCACACAGCTCTGAGCAGCAGGAAGTCTCGCTCTGGGTTTTACTCCTGTTCCCCCCCTTTGTGCTCTGCAGCATCATTCGTCTGTGATGGGATTTGGGTTGACCTAGACTTTATCCACAGTGTGATTTGGTAATCTAAGTCCACTCAGCCAAGCACAGCTGGAGGGCCAAGCCTGGCCCACCATCTGTGCATCTCAATAAAGCTTTATCGAAACAAAACTGTGTCCATGCACTTAGGTGTTATCCGGGGCAGCTTCTGTGTGTGGTTGAGGTGGCGATGGAGTCCACCTGAGATTTTGCCTCCTTGACCTCTTACTGTGCACGTTTGCCTGTCCCTGTCCTAAAGACAAGAGCGGGGTTTGGATTGGGAGTGGGGAGGGGAGAAGGTGTACAAGCAGGGGTAGCTGTGGGCACAAGGAGAGAGATGTCCAAATGGGAGGAGGGGCTGACAGCCTTCTGGCCTGGGGGCTGTCTTTGGATTCCCACCTTCCTGGGAACCCGGAGGTTGGCTTTGGGGCCCGGCACCTCACCCCTGCTGTGCACGCTCTAGGTTGGTGCTCGGTCTCAGCACAAGTCCTTCTCCCCGGCAGGGATAACCGGGACACACAGCACTCCCTGGAGAAGGACATCGAGGACAAGAGCTCAGCCGAATACATAGACGAGAAGTGCTACAACCTGAGAAACACATCCGAGTCCATCAGCTTCTTCCACGGCATGGAGAAAATGGATGGCTCGTGAGTATCGGGCTCCCTGCCCCCAGCCTCCACCCTGTCCCAGGGGCCCGTGAGTGCGTCAGTCAGGAGAGAGGCAGTGTGGTCTAACAGGGATTCTCCCTCACAAGTAGCAGCATCTAAACCCAGATGGAAATGGCTAGACTCCTAGAAGGAAGCCCTAGGCTCAAGGGGAAAATGACAGGGGCTGGCTCGGGTGGTCTGAGCTGGGTGGAGAGCTGTGAGTTGCTTAGCTGGGATTTTAGAACGCCATCTCTCCATCCTCGGCTCAGCATCCAGATTCCAGAAAGAGAGAGTGTGTGATTGGCTCGGGGACAGTCACGTGGCCAATGCCGCCCTGTGGGGGCAACCCCGAAGGGCCATCACCAGAAGGAGCAACAGCCCAAACTCAGCAGGGAGGCCAAGGCCCCCACCAGGGCAGGGCAGGTGGACAGTTGTGAGCAAGTGCTGTCCTCACCGTGGCCTCCATTTCTGCCTCGGTACCACTGGAAGGAGAAGAATCTCCAAGCCAGGCACTGGTGGCTCACGCCTGTCATCCTCGCTGCTCAGGAAGCTGAGATCTGAGGATCACGGTTCAAAGCCAGCCTGGGAAGGAAAGTCTGTGAGACTTTTTAGCTCCCATAAACTACTCTGAAAGAAAGCTGGAAGTGGCACTGTGGCTCAAGTGGTAGAGCGCTAGCCTTGAGAGGCTCAGGGACAGCACCCAGGTGCTGAGTTCCAGCCCCAGAACTGGCAAAAAAAAAAAAAAAAATCCCCCAGAGATGTGGTGCGTGTGACAGCAGTGGCCGGGCTGGTAGCTCGGCCTGGGTTTCATGCTATGAGTTCTGTCTGTGGCCTGCAACTCTGCAGGGTGTGCCACCACCATGGCGGGCCCTGCTTTCTCGCACTACAGTTCCAGGTTGGGGGGGACTGGAAAGAGAGGTACCCCCAGGCACAGGTGGGTGTGGGGTCTGTCTTGGCTCAGGCCCTCCCCCCCCCCCCAGTCTTTTTTCTCTTGTACATGTAGAATTGTGCTTGGGATATATAGGATGCAATAAATGTTCCTGGAATGGAAGAAAGGAAGCAGGGAGGGAAAGAGGATGGAGGGAAGGGAGGGGGAAGAGCAAGGGTAGGAGAGATGCCCGTCTCTTGGCCCCAGCCCTGAGTCACTTTCCAGGTCTTAGCAAATACTGAAGCCCTGAGCGGAGCCTGTGGGGTTTCTGGCAGTGGCAACTTCTGGGAGTCCTCCTCTCTCCAACAAGGTGGAACCCCCCACACATCCACGCACCCCATCTGCATGGAGAGTAGCGAGGCTCCCTTTGCATGAACAGATTCCTTCCCAGAAACCTGCTGGCCAGGCCGGCCGGCCACGCCGTCAGAGACCTTGCTGAGCCGGATGCTGAGAGCTGCTGTTTGCAGTGACCGATTTGCAGTGACTGACCCATCTGTGCAGGGCTTTGTGTTTGCGGCTTCCTGAGAGCAAGGGCCAGGTCTGGGCAGATTAAAGAGGGTGATTGGGGATTGTGTGGCTTGAAGTTGTCTCTCTGCTTAATGATTCTCATTGCTGTGGACCGACTGATGGTAGTGATGGTGGTGATGATGGTGATGATGATGGTGGTGATGATGGTAGTGATGGTGGTGATGATGGTGTTGATGATGGTGGTGATGGTGGTGGTGGTGGTAGTGATGGTGGTGATGATGGTGGTGATGGTGGTGATGATGGTAGTGATGGTGGTGATGATGGTTGTGATGATGGTGGTGATGGTCGTGATGATGGTGGTGATGATGGTGGTGATGATGGTGGTGGTTATGGTGGTGATGGTGGTGGTGATGGCGGTGGTGATGGTGGTGATGATGGTGGTGATGATAGTAGTGATGGTGGTGATGATGGTGGTGATGATGGTGGTGATGATGGTGGTGATGGTGGTGATGGTGGTAGTGATGGTGGTGATAATGGTGGTGATGATGGTGGTGATGGTGGTGATGATGGTGGTGATGGTGGTGATGATGGTAGTGATGGTGGTGATGATGGTGGTGATGGTGGTAGTGATGGTGGTGATGGTGGTGGTGATGATGGTGGTGATGGTGGTGATGGTGGTAGTGATGGTGGTGATGATGGTGGTGATGGTGGTGATGATGGTAGTGATGGTGGTGATGATGGTGGTGATGATGGTGGTGATGATGGTGGTGATGGTGGTGGTGATGGTGGTCATGATGGTGGTGATGGCGGTGGAGGCGATGCGGATGGTGATGCCAGCTCACCGGGGGCTCTTTTGAAAGCCATCCCTTCCCTCTAGGCTGCAGTGTGGCCCGGGTGTGGGGAGCCACTGGCATCCACTGGGTGGCAGCCACAAGGCTGTAGGCCTCCGATGTGAGGCACAGAACACCCCCACAATGAGGCAGAGCCAGACACCAGGGTGGGCCTTCACCTCGCCCTTGCCTTGTCCGTCTGCAGGGTCTCAGTGCCGGAGTCCTGGTCCAGGTTCAGCAACAACAACATCAGACACTCTCAGAACATGCGGGCCAACTCCATTCGGCTGCGCGAGGAGGCCGAGCACCTGTTCGAGAGTCTGTCGGACCAGATGTGGAAGCAGTTCACCGACACCAACCTCGCCTTCAGCAGCCGCATCTCCGAGGAGACGGACATGAAGAACAAACTGCAGACCCAGCTGGCGAAGGTCAGTGCTGCGGAGCATGGGGGCCACGCCTGGGCGCGGCCACCCTCCGGGCCACCCATCCGTCTGTCCGTCCCTCTGTCCATCCATCTGGGGGTCTGTGACTGACAGCAGGGGCTGTGTGCCTTCCCCCACTCACAGACATGGCGCTCGGCGTGGGGCCTGGCTGTCACCACGGTACCCACAGGCTGCCATGGTTTCTGGTGCCCTTCCTTCTCCATCTTGGGGCCTGAGCATGATGGGGAGCCCCCCCATGAGAACTATGTGGCCCCGACTGGTCATCCCCACTTGGCTTTCCAAGACTTTCACTGAAAGGTGGATGTTGGGTGAGTTTGAGAAGTGGCGACGTACCCCTAGGCTGCTGCCGTGTCATGGGGGATGCCCCTCTGGGCGGCTCCTGGGACTTTATTTCCCTCTGTGCAACACAGCCACAGACTGCACCCTGGCTGCCGGAAGCCATGCTGGGCACCGGAAGTAAAAAGAGCAAAGGATGGGGGGTGCACGCCACCTGCTCGCAGAAGTTTGTCTTCCGGGTGGACAGGGATTTAGGGGTGACTGTAAGTCACCCCTCTGCTTGGGAGTTTGGGGGAGATGTAGTAGGTTTTATGGGTGCTAAGGCAGCCTGTGTCGGCCAGGGTAAACAGGAGGCAGAGCAAATCACTCTTATTAAGTAATTGCCAGGTAGGATCATGTTAGGAGGGAGGAGGCGGGGTGAATGCATCAGAGATGCTCCGGGAACCCTCTGTGGGGGAAGTAGACAGGCAGGGGGCTCCCCACAAGAGCAGCTGGACAGGGATGGAGGCAGGCAGAGGAGCAAGCACACGGAGGAAACTCAAGGCTCTAAGTTCAAACCCCAGTACTGCCTCCAATAAATACAAAGTAAAAATGGAAGCTGAGTGCTGGTGGCTCACACCTGTCATCCTAGCTACTCAGGAGGCTGAGATCTGAGGCTTGCGGTTCAAAGCCAGCCCAGGTAGGAAAGTACGTGAGACTCTTACCTCCAACGAACCACCAGAAAATCAGAAGTAATGCTGTGGCTCAAAGGTCTAGAGCACTAGCCTTAAGTAGAAAAGCTCAAAGACAGTGCCTAGGCCCTGAGTTCAAGCCCCATGACTGACAAAAAAAAAAAAAAAATGGAGCTTTTGCTTGAAAAAGTCTACAGGGAAAACTGGGTAGGAGTTGAGTCCTTTGGACTGGGCTTTGCCCTCCAATTTGCCTCAGTCCCCAGCACCCCCATTATAGCCTCTTCAGACACTGCCAGTCCTCCTGGGCTCTGGCATACCCATGTGCTTGCACACTCTGCTTTGTGTCTCTGAGGAGAGGCAGGGAATGGGCATAGGAAGAGTTTAAACAGACCACAGAGCGGCCACACATTTCGACCTCGAAAGGCTGCCTCTGACACTGAAGTTTTCTTTGGAGTCCTCTCTTTCAAGCAGTCATTTAGTATCGGCAAACGCAGCCTTTTTCCTAGGAGCCTAGGTGGGCAGGCATAGCAGGGCGGGGTCCGGTGGGGGCGACGCACGGCTGGTGATCAGTGCCCCTGTGCTGTCTGCCCGCCTGCCCTTCTGTTTGGCTAAGGAGGTCTGGAACCCATTGTGTGGTGGGAAATGCTTTTGTGCTTTGCAAGCAGCCGGATCTCTTCCAGCGCCGGGGGCTGGCGGCCAAGCTACTGTCGGCTGGCTTCTAAAACTAGCCAGGTCCTGGACGTGCAGCCTCTGCCTGCCCCGCGCTGCCCTGTGCACACGGGACTGCCCTTAGACACCACATGTGGAGTGAGTGATCGAAGGTTAATAATAATAAATAAATAAAAAGCTTCCATCTGTTCAGAGCCAGTGGCTCACACCTGTGATCCTAGCTATTCAGGAGGGTGAGATAGGAGGATCGCAGTTCAAAGCCAGCCTGGGCAGAAAAGTCCCTGAGACTCTTATCTCCAATCTTGAACCAGAAGGTTTCCCTAGGAAAAAAAGGATTCCACGCTGTCTGGCCTCGTCCACTCGCTGGCATCTGCCCTGAGCTAGGCCAGCCATCTGTCTCCCTGGAAACCCCTGGCTCCACGGAGTTTGGGGGGAAAAATGTGCAAGGCTGCAGAAAGCATCTAGCAGTGGAGCGCCAGCTAGGACTGCTCAATCCATTCCTCACTCCACATCCCAGATCTCTTCCTGGCCTTGGACACTTTCTCTGCTGTCACAAGACGAGATGCAGGCAGATAGTTTTACACGGCTGGGGGAGGGGGCACTCTGCCAGGAACAGACAGACTCCTTAACACACATAGGGTACCCAGTGCTCCAATGGGGGGTGGAGAGGTGGATCATTGCCCTTTGTGCTGTAAATAGAAGTTTCCTAAAAGAAGAAAAGGGCTGTTGGTCTTGGGCTGGGGGGCATGGCTCAAGTGCTAGAGCCAAGCAAGTGTGAGGCACTGAGTTCAAATCCCAGTACCGCCGAAGTGGAGGAGGGGAGGGACCTATGTTAGCATTAATCAGTGCCAGCCATAGTTCTGAGGGTTTGACTTAGTTAATGATGCTTTCCCTCTTATTTTATTTCATTTTATTTTTGGTCCGATCGTGGGCCTGAACTCTGGGCCTGGGCGCTGTCCCTCAGCTCTTCAGCTCAAGGTTAGCGCTCTACCACTTGAGCCACAGCACCACTTCCAGCTTTTTTTTTTCCTGCTTATGTGGTGCTGAGGAATCGAACCCAGGGCCTCAGGCATGCAAGGCAAGCGCTCTACCACTGAGCCAACTTCCCAGCCCTGCTTTCCCTCTTATAAAGAAGGATTTACTAGCCAGGTGCTATTGGCTCATGCCTGTAAGCCTAGAAACTCAGGAAGCTTGGATCTGAGGATCACAGTTCGAAGCCATCCCAGGCAGAAAAAATCCTTGTGAGAGTCTTATGTCCAATTAACCACTCAAAAAATGGAAGTGTCACTGTGGCTCAAGTGGTAGAACACTAGCCTTGAGCTGAAGAGCTGAGGGACAGCGCCCAGGCCCTGAGTTCAAGCCCCACAACCCACAAAAAAAAAAAAGAAAGAAAGAAAAAAGAAAAAGAAAAGAAAAAGAAAGTATCATATCACCCCGCTTTACCCTCACCCCTAATCCTTTTTGCTTTATTTTTTAGATAGTGTCCCTACTTTTGTCCAGGGCTGGCTTTGGATGTCTCTCTTTTTTGCCTTTTTACTACTTCGTGTTGGGGGAAGGGCATCACCCTGTATAGCAGTGCTGCTATCATCTCCATTATACAAGTGGGGAAACTGAGGCTCAGAGAGGATCAGCATTTTTCCCAGGCCCACACAGCCTGCTGTGGTGGGGCCTCCTGATTTCAGAGAATGGGCAGCCAGAAACCTATCAAGCCCTCCTCCCATCTCCCTGTGGTCTCTGTCCATCCCCCCCCCCAAAAAAAAAAGGCAGCCAGAGGCTGGAAACTACTAGCCTTGACCACAGGGACTTCGCTCCCAGGCAGGTTTTGTGGGTCTGACCCGCACATTTTGGACAGCAGGCTCGGGAGGGAAGGGCCGTGGCACTGATTTATAGCAGGGTTTTCGCACCACCAGGCTGGGCCCAAGTTCCCAGCCTCTACCTGGTTTTGCAGACACAGCGTTTCGGGAGCCCAGCCATGGCCCGGCCCTTGCAGGCTGTCTGATTTGCTAAGTGCCACGTCGATTGATGCTGAGGGATGCGGAGTGGGGGGGGGGGGGGAGTCCCCACAGCTTGGACAAGGTGGGGGGGGGGGCTGGCTAAGATAGAGGTAGTGTAAATGCCTGTGTGGGTCTGAAAGGGACACAAATCCCTCCAGCGCCCCAGTGCCCCTTCCCCGGCCTCCTTCACTTCCGGCCCTGGGTGGATTGGAGGCCCACCTTCCCTGGAGGTCCACTAAACACCAACTCAAATGCCCCTCCCTGCCCGAATTCCCCTCCTAAACACCCCCAGGGCTGGCCCGGCCCTCTTGGGGGCCCCCTCCCTCCTAGCTGACACAGAAAAATGAATGACCACATATTCTGTCTTAACACCGTGCACCAGTCATTGAAATCACCCTGGCTTTTCTGAGAAGTTTTTGTTGTTGTTTTTTTTTTGTCGGTCGTGGGGCTTGAACTCTGGTCTTGGGCGCTGTCCCTGTGCTCTTCAGCTCAAGGCGAGCACTCTACCACTTGAGCCACAGTGCCTCTTTCTCACCTGGCTTTTCAAACAAAAGGGAAAGCGCCCTCACAGGGTCTGCTCGCTAGACCATTGCTCTGTCAAGGTTCAACGTGAAGCTCAGAGAGGTGCTGAGCCACGCAAGGTCACACAGCAGGGAAGAGCAGACGCTGGTCCTGCACCCCCAGGTGTAGAACAGCCTGATCCCACCTTGGAGACAAGAAAATGTGGTATATAGACAAAGCGGAGCATTATTCAGCCATGAAGAAGATGAACGTATGTCAGTGGTTGGCAAATGGATGGAACTGGAGATGGTCATGTTAAGTGATATGAGCCCGTCCTCAGGGACAAGTACTATGTGTGTGTTCGCCCCTCCAGAGCCAGAACAAAGCCAGGTCACGAGTGAAAAGGGGAATGTGGCTGCTTGGGCAGGAAAAGGAGAAATAGAGAGGTGATTGGGAGCCCAGGGCGTTAAATGTGTGTGTGGAAATGTCAGGGTGATACCCCTCCCTTTATTGGGTACAGCTTAGTAGAAGCCAGAGGGCACAAAGAAGCGAGGACCTGCAAAATCTGCTCCAGATTCCTCTCTCAAGTGGGAAGAGATGGGCAGAGATCAGGAAAGGGATGGCATACTAGATGGCATACACCCCAAGCAAGAGGTGCACAGGGCCTGGTGCAGAAGGCAGAGCACCAGCCCTGAACTGAGTAGTTATTTACTTGAGTTTCAAGTCTTACAGCTCAGATTCTCCACGACTCACGTAGGTCTAATAGCAGTTTGGAAATCTGTAACTATTATGTGATATTTTATAGTAATGCAATTGTTGCCTGATTAGTCCTTTTCTCTCTGCCTGGTGTTATTTACGGGGGATTTTTTGTTCTGTTTTTGTTTTGTCGGTTGTGGGGCTTGAACTCTGGGCTTGGGCTCTGTCCCTCAGCTCTTCAGCTCAAGGCAAGTACTCCACCACTTGAGCCACAGCGCCACTTCTGGTTTTCTGGTGGTTCATTGGAGATAAGAGTCTCACTGACTTTCCTGTATGGGCTGGCTTTGAACCGCGATCCTCAGATCTCAGCCTCCTGAGTAGCTTGGATGACAGGCTTGAGCCACCAGTGCCTGGTTTTTACAGGGTATTTCTAAAAATGTGCCTTCAATTCTGCTAAATCCAACAAGTAGTTGGCATTTCCACGGGCATCAGTCCTTTTCATTTTTGTTTCTTTTGGTTGTTGTCTCTTCCATCCTTTTAACTTTGGTGAAAATGAAGCTGATACATCCATAGACAGCGATGACACCTGGTTATTATCCCCATTCTTCACCAGAAACCTAAAAGAAGAAGGAGAAGCAGCAGCAGCTGAGGGTGGTGCACAGCTGGGCAGCTGCAGAGAGGCCCGGGGAGATGGCGGGAGGGCATGGGTGAGGTTTGGGACCAGCCCTTCCCAGAGCGGGGATCTGACTGGGAGAGGGAGCGAGGTGAGCCCTGCTCTCACGCCGCCCTGTTCCAGCGGGAGTTCCCAGCTAGGGCAGGGAAGGCAGGGCGGTTGGCCAGATCCCAGTGCTGGCCCCGCCCATAGGGTGACCCCCTGGGCCAATCCCCAGCCACCCGCCCAGCCTCCAGGCTGTGCCAGGCCCAGCCTTGTTCTGAATCCTCCCCACCTCCCTTTCTTGGGGACAGGAGGATTTCTCGTTCCTCTGCAGGAGTGTGGGGTGGGAGCTTAGCAGGGCTGTGCCTGTACGGGAGGTGGGCTGGGGGGGCAGCTTTCGTTGCTGATTGTGACTGCAAATGTGTGTGTGTGTGTGTGGCCAGCTCTACCACTAAGAGTTCCTGTGCCAGCTCAGGTTTTCAGGCCTTCCTTTACCTTGGTAAAGGAAGTAGGGCAATGAGCCCTGTGGCTAGGGCTGTGTCCCCTGGATGCAATCCATAGTCCCAGCAGGGGGGTTGAACGCAAGGCCTGGTCCAGGCTAAACACCAGTGTTCTACTACGTGAGCCACACCCACAGCCCTTGCGTTTGTATTTTTTGTTTCAGAGATGGGTGTCTCCACACCTTTAGCTGCGTTGGCTTTGAACTTGGTGGGGAGGGGGAGGGGGCTGCCCTGCTCCACCCACCATCCCGAGAAGCTGGGATGCCAGGGGTGTGCTACCCAGCCAGGTGGAGGTGAACATGACCTGAGCTGTGCCTGACATGGCGTCCCAGGGAATCAATCTGGCTAAGTGCATGCCCGTGTGGGCCTGGCACATTTGTCTTGGGTGTGAGCCACAAGAAGGCACCAGATGTAGAAATCCCCGGTGTTCTGGAAAACCCAGACAGGTCTGCTCAGGACGTACAGCTGAGTAAGGGGAAGAAGTGTGGAAAAAAGGAGAATCAAGGCAGGGCTCAGGCTGGGGCTGAGAAAGGGCAGGGTGGGGATGGGGGGGAAGCTTCTGTGTGACCCCTGGGCCTTGGCCTCTCTCCCCTGCCCGCCTCCCCAAATCCACTCACTCCCAGCTGCCTTCCTAATCCATCTCCATGGTCTTGCTTTAAGAGGAATGCCTTAAGTTAGGATGTTTATTTGTTCATGTAGTTAGTTTAGTAAGAAAAATACTTCTTTGTTCTTGTTGGTTGTGGGCTTGAACTCTGGGTCTGGGCGCTGTCCCTCAGCTCTTCAGCTCAAGGCAAGTGCTCTACCACTTTGAGCCACAGTGCCACTTCTGGTTTTCTGATGGTTCATTGGAGATAAGAGTCTCATGGACTTGCTGGTCGGGGCTGGCTTTGAACCACGATCCTCAGATCTTAGCCTCCTGAATAGCTAGGAAACAACAATCTTTGAGTACAAAGGGCAGCCGGAAGAGAAATACAGAAAACAGAGCAGACTACTAAAATTCAGTGGGCACCTGGAGCCTGCAGACGTCTCTGGATTCTGCTGCTGTTTGCGGGCTGCAGGAAGAAGGCTGGGTGCCTGGGAGTGTGGTGCCAGGGCTGGCTCCATGCTGGGCACGCCTGTGGCCATGGCCAGCGGGTGTGAAAGGGAACTGCCAAGGTCATATTCTCATCTTCCTCATCTGCGGTCAGGGAGTATTTCTAGAACCTCCCATATAGAATCGGTCTGCCGTGAATGTGACATCCGGGAGCAAGCCCTTGGTGTGCGGTAGAGGTGTGGTGCGTGTACATGTGGGAATTCCTGGCAGAAGTGGGCCCTGCTGGGTGGCAGAGGCCCCACCTGTGGGCCCCATACACAGGTGCCTAATGAATACTTCCAACAGGAGGTGAAGGGACTTGAACTTCGGAGAGAAAGCGCCTGTCCCTCCCTAGCAAGCTAGATGCCCCCTGGGGCAGGGCAGAGAGGGAACAACAGGAGGACAGGGCTATTGGCTGTCCCATTGTCCTGTCCCCATGCTGGGTCCTCTGCCCAGAACTGGGGCTTGGCGCTAGATGCTCAGTGAGCATGCGTGGGCAATCGCAGAGGTTGTGAATGAGCGTGTAAATGAAGGATGAAGGGGTGTCTGCCCAGCCCCCAGCCCCTGGGCCTCCTGCAGTCAGGAGTCCTTGAAGCCAGGTCCCCAGGAGGCTGAGCACACCTTGAGCAGGCCAGGGGAGCAAGGCCTCATGGGAGGGAGAAGAGAACGGGGGGGGGGGGGGGGGGGAGGGAACTGCCCGGATGTGGCTGGGCTTGGGGGGTGGGGGGATCCTGCCACTCACATCTCAATCCCTGGCACCCCAGGCCGCAGAATGCCAGAGCAGGTGCAGCTGAACAGCAGGGTGAGCGCTGAGACTGCCCCAAGCAGAACGAACAGGGGCAGAGTGGTAAAAGAAGGTTCATTTGCCACACTGCCATGTGCCCCTCTCCTGTGCTCCCAAGGGGCAACTTCTAAGGGAGATCTTCAGGGTGGCCTCCTCCTGTGAGCGTTGAGTGATTCATGCTTGGGGCGGGGGGGGGGGGGGTGTTTAACTAGCATGTGGCCTGTGTAGATGGGCCAGGGAAGGGGCCAGGCATTGGGGGCGACGGACTCTCTGTTACATTCTGGCTGTCTCCAGCTGTCCTCCTCTTGCCCCTCCTTGCCCGGGATCCAGATGTGTCTCAATCATGGGGGTACAATGATGGCACTTTATCAGAAAAAAATATTTTTAGGGAGGAATTTAAAAATTAGAATGTTGTTGGGTGCCAGTGGCTCATGCCTGTAATCCCAGCTACTCAGGAGGCTGAGATGTGAAGATCACAGTTCCAAGTCAGCCCAGGCAGGAAAATCCTTGAGACTCTTATCTCCAATCGAGCACCAAAAAGCTGGAGGTGGAGCTGCAACTCGTGGTTGAGAGCTAGCCTTGAGCACAAAAGCTCAGAGTCAGCAGCCAAGCTCTGAGTTCAAGCCCCAGACACACACACACACACACACACGATAACCTTCCCTTCCCTTTCTCCTTCCCTTTCTCCTTTCCTTTCCCTTTCCCTATTTCCCTTTTGCTTTCCCTTTTCTTTTCCTTCCCTTCTGTTTGATCAATGATTGCATGATGGAGGTCCTCAAACAAAACTAACCTTTGTACCAGTCCATCTCGGACCATTCGGGGATGAGCAGGGTCTGCACCCTGCAGGTGTTGAAGGCTGGGGAAGGGGGGAGGGAATGTAATGCAAGGGCTGACCCCACCCAGCACCCTCAGGGCCCCAAGGGGAGGACACGGAGCATGCTGGCAGGCGGTGACCGCCTCTTGGTCTGCACAGACGCTGCAGGAGATCTTCCAGACGGAGAACACCATCATGCTGCTGGAGAGAGCCATCATGGCGAAGGAGTACCCGCTGAAGGTGGCCCAGACCAGGCTGGACTGCCGGACCCGGCGACCCAATGTGGAGCTGTGCAGGGACATGGCGCAGTTTAAGTGAGTGTCCCAGCCAAAGAGGGCTGGTGTATGTGTGTATACGTGTGTGTGTGGGGGGGGGGGGGGAAATCCCTGGGGATCCAGACAGGGAAGGGAGGGGTCTGGAATACCGAAGGACCCTTGAGTGTGGAAATGGACCCCCCTCATGAAGCCCCTTAATTTTACTCCCCACCCCGCCCTCTTTCAGAGACTTGCACTGTCTCTTAGCTTATTCACTCAAGATGGAGCTCTACCCCCTTGAACCACAACTCCATTCTTGACTTTTTTTTGGGGGGGGCTGGTTCGTTGGAGACAGGAGTCGCCTGGACTTTCCTGCCCAGGCGGTATTTGAACCTCCACCCTCAGATCTCAGCCTCCTGAGCAGCTGGGGTGATAAGGCGTGAGCCAGCAGCGCCTGGCTGGCTTCCTTTCTAACTTCCTGGTACTGAGGGCTGACCTCAGGGCCAGCGAGGCCAGCGGCTCTACCTCTTGTGCCATGGCCCCCCTTTCTTTTTAGCTCATTTTCCTAATGGACTGCCCCGGGCTGGCCCCCACCCAGGACCTGAGGGGCAGAGCACTGGCCTAGGAGCGGAGAAGATGGGGTGGGGGGCACACACCACGCACAGAGCAGCATTCCCTCGGCTGTGGTGGCCCAGCGCGGCCCGACCCCATGTGAAGTCCTCGTGTCAGTCCGGCCCGCGGTGCCCCGTCCACGTGCCTGTCTGTCCGTCCGTCTGTCCGTCGGCGGCGGCTCAGCGCGGCCTCTCCCCTTGCCCTCCCTGCCCGCAGGCTCACCAACGAGGTGTTCACCATCGACGACACCCTGCAGACCCTGCGGCTGCGGCTGCGCGAGGCGCAGGACGCTATGCAGCTGCTGTCCATGACCAAGTCCCGGCTGGAGCACGAGCTGGCCATCAAGGCCAACACGCTGTGCATCGACAAGGAGAAGTGCATGAGCATGCGCAAGACCTTCCCCAGCACGCCGCGCCTGGTGGGCTACACCTGCCCCGCCCTCTGCTCGGGAACCATCGTCCCCTGCGGCGTCGGCCCGGCCGCCGGCGGCGCAGGCCCCGCCCCCTACGGCGCCGGCTCCGCCCCCTATCGCTCGGGCTCCACCCCCTGCGCCTGCCGCGGCCCGGGCGCCTGCGCCTCGCGGGTCTGCTGAGCGGCGGGCCGCGCGGGGGGCGCGTCCGCTTCCTCCCAGCGGGAGAAGCTAGATAAAGAGCCGAATACGTGTGCCCACGCCGGTCCCGAGCGCTCCTTGCGGCGGCTGGCCCGGGGGGCCTGGGAGGAGACCCGCGCACGGGGCGCCTGTGCTCCCCCTCCTTCCCTCCCTCCTTCCTTCCTCCCTTCCTCTCTCCCTCCTTCCTTCCTCCCTTCCCTCCTCTCTTCCTTCCTCCCTTCTTCCCTTCCTTCCTCTCTCCTTTCCTTCCTCTCTTCTTCCCTCCCTTCTTCCTTCCTTTCCTGTCTTCCTCCCTCCCTCCATCCTCCTTCCCTTCCTTCCTCCCTCCTTCCTTCCTTCCCCTCTCCCTACCTTCCACCCTTCCTTCCTTCCTTCCTTCCTTCCTTCCTTTCTTTCTTTTCTTTCTTTCTTTCTTTCTTTCTTTCTTTCTTTCTTTCTTTCTTTCTTTCTTTCTTTCTTTCTTTCTTTCTTTTCTTTCCTTCCTTCCTTCCTTCCCTTCTTCCCTCTCCTCTCCTTGCTTTTCCTTTCCTCCTTCCCTTCTCCAGGACCTGGGGACAGCACTTTCCTAGCAGGGTCAAGGCCTGGGGTCCATGTCTACCACCTCAATAATTAAAACTGCAGCGTGCAGCTGTAGATTTAGGGGTGCGCTGGTTATGGGGAGCCGCTGCACCCTCACTCCGCTCCCGGGAGCCGCTGGTCAGGCAGGAAGTGAGTTTTGATGTGCTGCTGTCAACTACAGCCCGGCGCGGCTTTGATTTCATCTTCTTTCTGGCCTGATGCTGCCTTGGTCTTCCCTCTTTCTTCACCACTTTGATCATTTGTTTTATTTATTTAGTTTTTTCTGTGCTGGTCCTGGGGTTTGAACTCACAGTCTTGATCTAGCACTTAGCTTCTTTCCTTCCTTCCTTCCTTCCTTCCTTCCTTCCTTCCTTCCTTTTCTTCCTTTCTTTCTTTCTTTCTTTCTTTCTTTCTTTCTTTCTTTCTTTCTTTCTTTCTTTCTTTCTTTCTTTCTTTCTTTCTTTCTTTCTTCCTTACTCAAGGCTACAGTTCTACCACCTGAGCCACAACTCCACTTCCAGCTTTTGGCTGGGTAATTGCAGATAAGTCTTTCCAGCCTGGGTGGGCCTCAAACCATGATCCTCAGTTCTCAGCCTCCTGGGTAGCTAGGATGACAGGTGGGAGCCCCAGAGCTGGGCTGCAAAGCCATCCTTCAAGGCAGATCTTACAGTCCCAAGAGGGTGTGGCAAAGGTCAGCACCCTGGGATCTGAGCCGCCTCTGTGACCCAGAGGTCCCCCCCTCCAGCCTTTGAGAAGACAGGAATGCAAACAGTAGAGATTAGGGCCAGAATGCCTGCAGCCTGCCCAGCACCTCCCCCAGCCAGGTGACCCCACGAGCTAGGTGTGCCCCACCCCCACCTCACAGCTGGGGAAACAGAGGCACCAAGCACCACCCAAGGCTCCCGCCACTGCTCTGCCTGGCCATTGCTCCGCCTGCCCTCAGCCCAGCCCTGAGGCGGCTCCTGCCGGGAGGGAGGCGGCTGCATTCTTCTACCCGGCCCAGAAATGTCAGTGTCACACAAAGTCCTGGCTGTTTGCTCCCATGATCCCCCACGGCTGGGGACAAGTGTCCCCTCATGCAGACCAGGGATGGAGGCAGGTTTGGAGCACACAATCCACATTCCTGAGGACTGCCCGGGGTGCCCTTTTCTTTCATCTCTGGAAACATACAGAACATTCCTGGTCCCTTCCCTGGGACCACGTGACCCCTGGACGTGCCCTGAGCTGGAACTCTCTGTGTCCCTGAGTCAGGACCCCCCTCCCCCCATCCCGGGCACCCCACCCAGTGGCACTGCTTGGCATTCCTGGCGCTCCTCTGGGGGTAAGCTTGGGGGTGGCACTCATGAGGACAGAGCCCAGGGACCCGGAGGGGCATGTGAGGGACTCCCCCCTTCCCCCCCAATGCCCAGCCCAGGCCCATGCCAGGACGCTTGTGTGTCCTGGGACGGGTGGCCAGGCAGTTGGTGACCTGGAAGTTGGGGGTGGCCGCCCTGCCTCAGGCTGTGTGGTCTCCTGTCCCCACATACACAGGTGTGGCAGGACCGTGGTGTGGCAGGTGAGATGCGCACTTGACAAGTTACTTTCGTGTTACACGGGTTTCCTCTCCGCTAGAAAAGAGAGAGGAGCCGCAGTGGCTCATGCCTGCAATCCCAGAACTCAGGCAGCCGCATGAGGATGGAGGATGGAGGATCAAAGTCAGTCTGTGAGACTCTTGTCTCCAATGAACCATCGAAAAGCTGGAAGTGGAGCTGTGGCTCAAGTGGTAGAGCACTGGCCTAGAGCAAACAACAAAAAGCCCCAAGATTAGCACCTAAATAAATGGATACATGCATAAATAAATAAAGCCCCTGTCTAAGAGACTGCCACACTGCTGGTGCTGGGGGGGGCAGTTTCCAGGGGGTTCACCCCTCCCACAGTTACCCACCACAGGGAACCCCATCAGAGACCTGGCCATCCTAGGACCCCTCTGGAGAAAGGACTCCTCCCTAGTGATCTGGAATAAGGAGAGGTGGGGTTCCCAGGAGGGAAGTGATGGGGAGCCACCCCTCTTGGACAGCAGGGCACAGAACCCCTGGAGAGATGAAGCCCTCTTCCCCCTCCCTGTCCCCATTCCAGTCTGTCACAAGTGCTGGCATCCATCCAGGAGCCATGTTCACAAGTTTACAAGGAGAAGGTGGCCTTCCTCTTCATCCCTGCCCTGGCCCCACCCACGCTCCTGAGTCCAGGAGTTTCCCATCCAATCAAACATGAGATAAGGACCCTGGCCAGTGGTGGTGGACGCTGGTGGCCTGTGGAGATCACAGATGAAGAATGCCCCCCCCCCAGTTGTATGCAAATGAGGCCCAGCCTGCAGCTCCGCCCCCTGACCCCTCACCCCTGAGTGGCACTTACCAGCCATGTGTCACCCCCGCCCACCCCCAGGACACTGCCCCCTGGCTCCTCCACGGCCTTCCCTTCCCTGCTGGCCTCTGCAGGATGGGAGAGGCTAGGGAGTGGCCTGTGCTTCTCCACGTGTACCCCCAGACTGCACAGGGCATGTGGGCTGGTGGTGTGGGCCCTGGGGTCTGTCTGCTCTGCAGAAGGGGGTTGGAATGGGGCTGGAGCTTCCCCTGGGGTCCCCACTCCCCTGCTCCAGGCCTCACGGGAGAAGGGAGTGGGGGGAGAAGCCAGATCCTGGCTTGGGCCCCAGGCACTGTGCACACCCTGCTAAGTGAGAAACCCTTTCCACACACCAGTCACGGCAGCCCTGCTGCACACAACGTTTGTGGGGCTCCCCAGTGCTCTTGGGGTACCCCTCTTCCCACGTCAACTCTTCTGACACACCTGTCTAGCTTCTCCATCCTCCTGAGCTCCACTTTCCTACCACAGGGCCTTTGCTTGAGCTCCCTCCACCAAGACCACATGGCCCTCCCTCATTCACCCTGCTTAGCTCCCAGCTCTGTCCCTTCCCTCAGGAAACCTTGTTCCACATGACAGGTCGCTGCCCCTTCCTTCCCTTCCCCGGGACAGTCCAGTCACTTGAGATTGTTTCCCCCAGTGGATTCCCCCCGTTGCAGGCTTGGGGTGATTCCTCAGCCCTTTCTGATCCATAGAATCATAAATTCCAGGAGAGGGGGGGCTGTCCCCCCCATCACACACCCTAAATGCCATGTGGTGGGCACGGCCTCCTCCTCTCTCATTCTAGCATCTGTCTCCTACGCGGCTCAAGAAAAACCTGTTCTTTGTTTTTCGGTTCTCACTTGGTACCTCAGCTGGCCTTGAATCCCCATCCGGCTGGACACGGAGCTGTGGCTCAGCTGGTAGAGCTCCAGCCTGGAGGGGAGAAAAAATGAAGGGGTAGCGCCCGGGCGCCTGAGCTCCAGGAGCGAGACCAGCGAAACAGCAACCACCAAAACCCAAGCACGACAAGCCCGGAGTTGGGGAGAGGCTGCTGTGTGGACGGCGCGACAGCAACCGCTTCTCGGGAAGGCTGCGCCCAACTTCAGGTGGCCCAGAGAACCTGCTCAGAGCAGGGCACTGAGCCACAGGATCGCAGGCCCCCACCCACACAGTGTGATAATGAAGACCCGCCCAGCTTCAGGCACACCCTGTAATGCTGGGCACCCCTGGAGCTCTCCACACGGGGGCTGATCGGATCTCCTAGCTGCATCTTTTCCCTACTCAGGTTTCTTCCTTCCTTCCTTTCTTCCTTTCTTTCTTTCTTTGTTGGTCATGGGTCTTGAACTCTGGGGTGCTGTCCCTCAGCTCTTCAGCTCAAGGCTAGCGCTCTACCACTTGAGCCACGGCGCCACTTCTGGTTTTCTGGCGGTTCATTGGAGATAAGAGTCTCATGGCCTTTCCTGCCCGGGCTGGCTTTGAACTGTGATCCTCAGATCTCAGCCTCCTGAGTAGCTAGGATTACAGGCGTGAGCCACCAGTGCCTGGCTTCCTGCTCAGCCTTCTGCCCTGCACCTTTTCCTCTCCCTTCCTTCCCTCCAACTTCCCATTTTGGGGTAGCTGGGGGTCTGCACCAGCTCCCCATTGCCTGGTGCGCCCTGGATTTCAGGCAGCCCACCGTTCCCCACCAGCCTCTCCCATCATGCCTCTGGCTCTGTAAACATCACCACAGCCCTGGAGAAGGCATGGTAGGGCTTCAGAAAGCAGGGACAGGGAGGGAGCCATTCTCCCACCCCACCCCAGCTCTCCCCCACTCCTGGCTTCCCACCCTACAGCGTGGCAGCGGCTGTGAACTTGGCAGGATGCCCGCTGGCCTGGGGGTTCCTGCGGAGGGGTGGGGGGGCATGGAGAAATCCAGAACCACCCAGGCCCCACCCAGGCCTGCGAAGGGGGGGGCAGGCCCCACCCCATGGCAGGTGTGTGAGTGTGCAACAGGAGGAAGGGGTGAGAGGTGGAGGGGGGGGTCGCTGTGCAGTCCCTGGACCCTG